CCTCGATGGCACCCTTGGTCAGGAGGGCAGAGAGCTCCTGATCCAAGATACAGGCTTTTGCCGGGTCCGAGATCAAAGTAACCTTGACCCGGCCCGACATGTGCGGCCGGCGTCGGAATTGCAGACGGTATCCGTGAGTCAATGTGGCCACCACCCACGGATCCCGAGCTCGAGCAGCCCAACACTCGAGCTGCTGATGGGAAAAATGTCCGACGCCCGGCCCTGAGGCGTCAATTCCGCTCCCCCCGCCCCCTAGGGGCTCTGGGGAGACCTTGCCCAGGACCAGCCGCGGCGCCACTTGGCTGGCGGGTCGGGCGCCTGGCACGGGTGGGGCACGAAAATTCCCGGCAGGCCTGACCTGGGGATAACGCTGAGCACCAGACCAATCCCGAGGAGGCTGGCGAACACTGGGGGCCACCATCGGGCGCAAAAACTGCCGGGGAGGGCGCACCACCCTGCTAAGGCTAGAAAGTTGCTGTCTAGTCTGACCAGCATGGACAGTCCGGTCCAATGCTTCCTGGGCCGCCGTCCCAAACAACTGACCCGGCTCGACAGGCACGTCACGGAGGGTCCTACGACAGGCCTCAGTCAGGGGAGACTGAGCCAGCCATACCTGCCGACAAGCCTGTACAAGGACCGACATGACCCGTCCGAGTTCCCTGGTCATCAAGGCAAATGCATGCAGAGCTGCGTCGCTAAACGCAGTAGCATCAGTGCCCACAGCACTACCCTCTTGGAGGGAGGCAGACAGGGCAAGCAGCAGATGCGCTAAGGAGTTACCAATACGGCCAGCTCAAGCACCAGAATTGTAGGGCTTTGTAAGCAAGTGATCAATCGCACGACACTGGCTCCGAGGGCACCTCACATTCTCCTGCAAGGACTCCTCCGGGGAAACAATGAGGGAGGCAACAGCCGGCTCAACAGCAGGCATGCAATCCAGGCCAGCCAAAGAGGCATCGTGCATAGCGGCCAAAGCCCGACCCTCAGCCGAAAGCTTAGAGAGACGGCTGGGGTCCCTCCAGCACGCGTGCAGCTCCTTTAGATACTCCACGGACGGGGGCACAACAAAAGCAGGAGACGAACCACCACGCCTGAAAAAAGCACTGCCAGGGTCAGCCTGTCCCGACTGGGGAAGTTCCACCTGCAGACGGGATAAGGCCCTGCGAATAACCTCCTGCATCGAGCCGTCACCAGACCGGCCCCCGAAAGGGACCGCGCGTCATCCTCGTCCCGGAAGCACGAAGCAGATGCTGCCAGAGAAAGCACATCCTCTTCCGGATGGAGGGATGGCATGGAGCAAGAACCAGCCTCAGAGACAGAATTAGCAGCACAACGTGCCTGGAATTCGAATTTCATCGCCTCCAACTCTGCAGATAACTGCTCCACCCTCGACACCAGGACAGCATCCGGCTTGGCCTGCTTGGAAGGACCATGAGCATCAGACCGCCCCCCTGAAGCACAGGCCTCAGCAAGGTGCTTAGAACGCCGAGGGGGCGGAGCCCCAGCAGGTCCCACTGGCAAACTACCAGCGTCGCCAGACGAAGGCAGCTGAACCAGCCTTGCCACTCTAACAGCCCAGGGCAAGCAGCTGCAGTTCATGCACGGGTTATCGGACACGGCCTCCCTCAAGTGAGTGGGGCCGAGGCACGCCGGACACAGGTCATGGCCGTCATCTTCATCGAGTGCTGACCCGCAGCCCACACACGCATGTGACCCGTCCATAACAATAAGGCTTATATTTTATTTCTTTAATTTTATTTTTTCTTAAAACGGTATTCAAACTTCAGAACCGAATTAACGTACTGCAGTTTCACAACAGCAAAGCCAAATATAGCACGGTGGAGGAGCGGACGCGTGAACAGCAGCCTTCATGCCACACAATGCACCAGCAGTAAAAGGCCAACTCAAATAAAGTAGTGATGGAGGAGAGGGCGCGCGAACAGCAGCCTTCACACCACACAATACACCGGCATTAAAAGGCTAACCCAAATAACGTATCAATGGAGGAGAGGGCGTGCGAACAGCAGCCTTCACACCACACAATACACCGGCCACAGAATAAACACAGGTAGCAAATGCTAACCCAAATAAGAACTGATGGAGGAGCGGGCCAGCGAACCGCAGCCTTCACACCACACAATACACAGTTAGCAAAAAGCTAACCCAAACATGCACAGGCGGAGGTGCGGGCTAGCGAACTGCAGCCTTCACACCACGAAATGCATGTAGCAATAGACAACCAAAAGAAAGTACTGATGGAGGAGCGGGCGCACAACAGCAGCCTTCACACCAAACAATACACACGTATATAGTCAGAAAACACCAATAAATACCCAAAGGACAACGTCACCGTCGCGCCCCACGGAGGGCGAACCGCAGCTCCGACGAAGAGGGCTTTCAGCGACAGACGTTGACGAGGTTCAAGCAGCAAGGAACAGAGTGCTGGATGACGCTGGACTTTATTACCTCCGGTGTGTCATCCAGGGGGTCACAGGTGTGACTCATTTGGTATTATTACTCGAACTGCGCATGTGCGAAGGGAACATTCAGTGCTATGCACCGTCCTCTGGCAGTCAGAAGGGATGAAATAGAACTCTTAAACCCAGAAGGAAAAAAGTGAGAAACCTCTGGGAGATCCAAATTGAGAGAGGGATCTGCTCCCACGAACGGACGGGCTATAGATCCAGGACCTAAGCTACAGAACGTGGACCAGCGGCCGTGGACAGGACTGAAGAACTCCCTGGCAGGTCGGCCAGGGTAGTCCGCGAGTGTAGATTGAGGAGGCCAGGTCTAGAGGTCCCGTCATCGTACCATGGAACAGACAATGGGACAACGGGTGAATAGCAATGAACAAACTACAGTCAAAATCCTAATAATGCTAAACAGATAAAGTAGGAAGGAGGAGAGGATAGTGTTTAAGTTACCATACTTCTCCCACAAACTGACTCCTTATGCAGCTTGACTGAAAGTCTAAGATTTTTTAAATGGAACTGAAGAGGACTGTTTTGCTTCCTTAACATAGAAGGGACACAGTAAAGGAGCTTGGTAGCTAAATGCTCTGCCGCCGACAGTGCTTTTTGAAACCTTAGGGACCACCAGACGTCTGGCGTTTTGGGAGCGCAGTGCTCGGCTTGGTTGATAAGACATTAACATGTCTTGAAGATAAGAGGGAGCCAAGCCATTTATGGTTTTGTATGCCAAGAGAAGAATTTTGAACTTTATTCTGTACTTCACAGGAAGCCAGTGGAGTGATTTTAAATCCGGAGTTATGTGCTCCCTCCTTTTGGTGCCTGTTAAGATCCTTGCTGCTGTATTTTGAACAAGCTGGAAGCTCTTCGAAGAGGATTTAGGACATGCTGCCAATAAAGCGTTACAGTAGTCAAGCCTTGAGGTGACAAAAGCATGGATCAATTTTTCCGTGTCACTTTTATCCAATCCAATCCAATCCACTTTATTTCTATAGCACATTTAAACAACAGAACAGTTCCAAAGTGCTGCACAAAAAAGTACACAAAAAATAGAATAAAAAATAAATAAATAAATAGTCAATTTATAAAATCAATAAAAATCATAAAACACAAAACAAAAATTAAAAAAGACACAGGGACCACAGAACTCACGCGGTGTTAAAAGCCAGAGAATAAAAGTGGGTTTTAAGACGAGATTTAAAACACTCCAATGTTGTGGCTGTTCGGACGTGGAGGGGCAGAGCGTTCCACAGCTTAGGGCCGATGACGGAGAACGCTCTGTCCCCTCGAGTTTTACGTTTCGTCTTAGGAACCACGAGCTGGAGCTGGCCCTCAGACCTCAGAGCGCGCGTTGGGGCGTAGACTTCAATGAGGTCTGCGACGTACTGAGGGGCCAGTCCGTTTAACGCTTTTAAAAACAAACAACAAAACCTTAAAATCAATTCTAAATTTGACTGGAAGCCAGTGCAAAGATGCGAGGATTGGTGAAATATGGTCACGCTTTTTAGCTCCAGTAATAAGTCGTGCAGCGGAGTTCTGGACTAACTGTAAGCGTGAGAGTGCATTTTGGGTAATGCCTGTATAAAGAGCATTACAGTAGTCCAGGCGTGACGAAATAAAAGCATGCACGACTTGTTCAAAATGTTTAAAAGATAAAAACGGTTTGACTTTAGATAAAAGGCGAAGATGGTAAAAGCCTGACTTGACGACTGTATTAATCTGTTTAGTAAAATTAAAATCACTGTCCATGGTGACGCCAAGGTTGGTGGCAGAGGGGAGAACGTTGTCTTTAAAGGGGCCCAAGTCCATTAAGGGGTCAGTGGGCCCAAAAATAACAATTTCAGTTTTCCCCTCATTAAGACTTAGGAAATTTTGGGCCAACCAAGCCTTGACGTCACTCAGGCAGGCAAGCAAGGGTGTCAGGGGGCCTTTAGCTGTCTTGGAAAGAGGCAAGTAAATTTGACAGTCATCTGCATAAAAATGGTATGAGATGCTGTGCCTCTTAAAGATTTGACTCAGTGGGAGGAGATAAAGGGCAAACAGAATTGGGCCAAGAATTGAACCCTGGGGAACTCCACAGCGCAGGAAGGCAGAGGATGAGGTGGAGTCCCCAAGCCTAACGGAGAAAGACCTCCCACTGAGGTATGACCTGAACCAGTCTAAAGCAGTCCCCCTGACACCCACACTGTCTCGGAGTCGGTCTTTTAGTAAGGATTCTCCTGATTTTAGCGATGTTCCGCAAGTGGAAATACGCCTTTTTAGTTGTTTGGTTTCTATAAGCTTTGAAGGAGAGTTCTTCGTTGAAAACAACTCCAAGATTCCTCCCTCTCTCTCTCTCTCGCTCTCTCTCTCTCTGTGTATCAAGGGCAGAGAAAGAGGCGACACATTCACAGCTGCAGTTAGTGGCAAGACAACAGAGAGTTGAAACAGCAGTAGCAGTAGCAGAAGTATTATTGATAACAATAGAAGTAGTAGTAGTAGTAGAATAATAAGTAGGACTCAGTTGATAGGTGGAGGATCCGCTCCTGCATCATGGACCAGAGCTCTGGCGGTATGGACTGTGTGTGTTTGAGAATGTGTCCTTGTGTGTATGAATGTGTGTGAGAGTTTGTGTTTGTGTGTGTGTGTTTGCGAGGCTAAAGTTTAATTTACAAACGACTCACAAAAGTGTTTCCTGTCTCTGTAGCTCAAAGAAGCAGATTCTGACTCACAGGGATCTTTCTGACACATAAGTTGAAGACGGCATGTTCTGATTTGTGTACAATATTTTAACTTTACAAGACCGGGAACAGAACAGGACTGAACCAGGACTGGAACAGGATGTCACCAGGACCAGACCAGTAATGAACCAGGACTGGACCAGTCCGTGGTTCAGTCCTGGTCAGTCCTGGTCTGGTTTCTGACCTCTAGCTCAGCTGTTGTCACATATTTCACATTCTCCTCACTCTGCGCCTGTCTTCCACCTGTCAGCCTTTCATCAGATATAAGTTCCGCCCCTGTCTTATTGTCATTACAGAAAGAGTTTAACTTTTGCGGAAACCCAGGATTGACAGGCGAGCTCTCTCCCCATTGGTCTTCTGTTATAAAAGGGGTGGGACTTATTTCAGGGTCATGAGGTCAACAATACACACACACACACACCTGCTGAAGTTCACGTGAGTTGTCAGTTTTATCTTTAGACTTGGCCCAGACCCAGTCAGACCCTGACCTCACAGAAATCCATGAAGTCCAGAGTTAGTCCAGCAGGTTTGGACCTCGTCTAGACCTGGCTCTGGTCCAGGTACTGCTCGTGTTCCTTTCAACAGTAAACACTCTCGTCAGGCACAGAACACTTCTGTGTTCATCATGTTCTCAGAGGTTACATATATGCCAAAATGTCTGTCACATGTCTGAGCTGCAGGGATAATCAGAGCAACGGTCTGAATCTTAGCACATGTTGCATAAGGCTCACATGCTATTCTCCTGATGACAGAGCCCGATTCAGGTCCCGAATCTGGACTTGAAGTCTGGTCTAAATGCAGTCCTGGTCCAGAGCCAGACGCTCAGCTGTTTATGAGAATTGTGGAGACCTTTCCTGAGGAAGCAGGTTTTTCTGCTGGAGGGAAAAACAATGTGCTGATCGCTAACTTGAACTGAGCGGAGCATGTGGGTGTGACGATGTTTCAGTGACGTTGCACAAAACAGAACTGAACCAGAACTGAACCAGGACTAGGACCAGGACCAGGATGGCTGGCACATACTGAAACACAGAGTGAGGAAAAGTGAATAGTTTCCAGATTAAAGAGATCAAATCGTTATTCAGGCTTGACTTTCAATACTTTAAATTGGGTTTTAGAAAGTCCATATTGTGGTTCCCTCTGATCTCTCTCTCGGTTTGTGGTATCTCTGGTCTCCCCCTGGTCTCTCTGGTGCAGACATGCGGCGGCAGTTCCCCCGTCAGACCATGGACCTGGTGGATGAGCGTGTGCGAGTGCTGGCGGAGCAGGTGTATGTGTCAGCGATGAAGAACCAGGGCGCTTTGTTCACGGTGTCTGAGGACTGTCCCATCGAGGCACAGGAGGATCTGCAGAGGGCGCTACAGAGGGAGAGGGAGGACCAGACTGACCACTGCTCCAAGAAGTGAGTGTGTATTTTTGTCACTCGAGAAATGACCATAACTAATTCATGGGCTAATGGGGTTAGACTGCCAGAGTGTGATGCCACAGTGATTTTATAGTGATGCCATACTCGTACAAAAACATCACACTGTTACAGGATGGAGCCAGGAGCTTTTAGACAGAAGGGGTGGAGCTGCTGGTATTAGCGTGGATTGATCTAAACACCTCTGGTCATGAGCTTTGGGTAATGACCAACAGGACGAGATTGCGGACACAAGCAGTTCATTTGAGTTTCCTCACTGAGTGGAGCTCCCTTATGTCTGCTCAGACTGCTGCCCCGCATCTCAGAAATGGATACATTGGAAGAAAGTGGATGTTTTCATTATTTTCCATTTTTGATTTTTAATTTTTCTTGCTTTTTTCTACCTGAGATGTTTCTGCAGTACAGTGTTCATAGTTTTGCACTGGTCCAGACTGGAGCTGAGAGGATTCATGGTCCGAACCAAGCGGATCAGGCGAAACACCACTGGAGGAATGCTGACTTTTTGAGAAATGCTAATGAAGCAATCAGCCTTTTACTTTGGACAAGAGCAGAGAAAATGGTCCGAACCAAGCGGGTGCTCCACTTCCACCTTGTGACCTGTCCTGCTGTTGTGACCCGTCCTGCTCCACCCAGCGGCTACTCCAAATCTGCTGCTGAGACTTGAAGGACTGTTGCTATTATTACTTATATAACTTTTTACAACGATCGATTTTATCTTTTATTTTTGCTGCTACTGGACACCTGCATCAATAAAGTATCTGTCTATATATCTATGTATAGATGGAGGGACCTTAAAACCATGGAAAAAACCATGGATGTTCATCGTGTCTCATTTTAGTTTCCATGGCTCTGATTTTGCTCTCAGGAAGAAATCCATGATGCTGCGGCGCTCTCAGACCTTATCTCTGCAGATCCCAGACTGGGGAAGTCCAAGTCCCAGTACTGCTCCAGTCCCTGCTCAGATCCCAGAGCCTCCTCCCACTCTGCAGGTCCCAGAGTTCCAGAGAGTGACCATAAGTGGAGACTACTGTGCAGGGGTCAGTCTGTGTATCATATTTTCTAAAATGACTCTCTCTGTCTGGTCCCTCTCTGATCTCTCTCACTAGTTAGTGTCCTTCTCTCTCTCTGGTCTCTCTGTGTCATACATGGTCCCTGTCCCAAATAGTCCCTCTTGTTCCAGATCACGGCAGAGGACTATGAGCAGGCCGCCCACACTCTGCTCACAGCCCTCATTATCCGGGAGAAGTACTCCAGACTGGCCTATCACCGCTTCCCCCGAACCACCGCACGCTTCCTCCGGGAGTCCCAAGACCAGACTTGGACCCAAGACCAGGAGGTTCTGCCAGGTACCAGGGACCAAAGACTTGAGGCCAGAGCAGAGGCCAGAGCAGAGGCCAGAGCAGAGGCCAGAGCAGAGGCCAGAGCAGAGGCCAGACATTTCTGTCAGTTTGTACTTCTTCAGTGGAAATATGAATCTTCCACCTCACACTTCTCTAACCTCTTTTCGGTTGATCAGCTATAGTCCGTGTTGGCCTCAGTTATGGGTTTATGGCTCCCATAGTTGTAGTCGTCATTAGTAGTTGTATTTCTTGTCTGTGGCAGTTGTAGTCCTTGTCTGTGGTAGTTGTAGTCCATGTTTGTGGTATTTGTAGTCCTTGTCCGTGCCATCTCTAACACATCTGTTTCCACAGACATCTGGCCGGGCCCCATGAAAGGACAGGACCCTTACTCCACAGAGGGAATTCCTGAGGATCTGGACTATGTGCTGCAGATGAAGGATGGGATAGTCCAGGTCTATAACCAGACTGAGGACCTGGATCTGGACAGCCCTCGCAGTCTGCCCTACCCCGACCTGGAGACCTTCGCCAGTGACCTGAGTCACGTGCTGGCCATGATTGCAGACGGACCCACGTACGGATATATCACCCTCCTTTTACAGTTTTTTAAAATATACAAATTAATAATCCACAATTCAGTGTGCCGGGTTATCTACACCAGGTTATCTGCACCAACTCTCTCTCTGGTCTCCCTCTGGTCTCTCTCTCTGGTCTCCCTCTGGTCTCTCTCTCTGGTCTCACTCTGGTCTCTCTCTCTGGTCTCACTCTGGTCTCTCTCTCTGGTCTCTCTCTTGTCTGCACGGCATAGATTAGTTCAGAGGACTACCGTGGTATTCTTGTAGTACCAGGAATTATATTTGAGCAAAACCTTACCATGAGCGCTTCCCTAATAGCCCATACACACCGGAGGATTCAGGGACTGCACCAGGGGACCGCTTCTCTGACCCCTAGTGGACGAGTGCGGGACTGCACCACACTACTACACGCACACACTAATCACATGAAGACAGTTAAAGTGGTTTGTAGTGTCTGATGTCTCCTGTTCTCTGTAGTAAAACTTACTGCCACAGACGTCTAAACTTCCTGGAGTCGAAGTTCTACCTCCATGAGATGCTGAACGAGACCGCAGAACTGAAGGAGCTGAAGTGTGTGGCCCACAGGGATTTCTACAACGTACGAAAGGTACAACCAAACAGCTCTCTCTCTCTGTGGTCTTTCTCCGGTCTCTCCCTCTGGACTCTCTCTGGTCTCTTACCGGTCTCTCTCTCTGGACTCTTTCTGGTCTCTCTCTCTGATGAGTCTTAAAGCATTGAGCTGCTGCTTCAAGGATTTCACTTATTGTGGGTTACTTTTGGAACACAAAACCCCTGTGATAAACCAGTAACCGTGCAGTCCTAATATGGGTGTCCTTCAGTTCCTGTTGTTAACGAGGGTGTTCTCAGGTGGACACTCACATTCACGCCGCAGCCTGCATGAACCAGAAGCACCTGCTGAAGTTCATCAAGACCTCGTTCCAGACTGAGGCCGAGCGCCCAGTCCTACACCACGGCGATAAGATCCTGACCCTCAAACAAGTGTTCGAGAAACTGAACATGGACCCGTACGACCTGACCGTTGACTCGCTGGACGTCCACGCTGTGAGTCTTTCTTTAGTCCTGCTTTAGTCCTGCTTTAGACCAGCTTTAAATCAGCTTTAGACCAGCTTTATTCCTGCTTTTAACCCTGCTTCAGATCTGCTCTAGACTTGCTTTAGATCTGCTTTAGACCAGCTTTAGACCTACTTTAGTCCCGCTTTAATCCTGCTCTATGAACCTGGTTCTGACCGGGTTCTAGTCAGGTTTTGACCTGGTTCTGGTCTGGTTTCAGGGTCGGCAGACCTTCCATCGCTTTGATAAGTTTAACTCAAAGTACAATCCTGTGGGAGCATCAGAACTACGGGAAATCTATCTCAAAACGGACAACGACATCAACGGGGAGTACTTCGCCCGACTGGTCAAGGTAGGCAGCAGCAGTAGCAGCAGTAGCAACAGCAGTAGTAGTACCAGCAGTAGCAGCAGCAGTAGTAGCAGCAGCAGTAGTAGTAGCAGCAGTAGTAGCAGTAGCAGCAACAGTAGCAGCAGCAGAAGTCGTAGTAATTGTAGCAGTCATAGTAGTAGCAGCAGTGGTAGCAGTAGCAGCAGCAGTATTAGTAGCAGCAGCAGTAGTAGCACTAGTAACAGTAGCAGCAGCAGTAGCAGCAGCAGTAGTAGCAATAGCAGCAGCAGCAGTAGTAGTAGCAGCAGTAGTAGTAGCAGCAGTAGCAGCAGTAGTAGTAGCAGCAGTACCAGCAGCAGTAGTAGTAGCAGCAGTAGTAGTAGCAGCAGTAGCAGTAGCAGCAGCAGTAGTAGTAGCAGCAGTAGTAGCAGTAGCAGCAACAGTAGCAGCAGCAGAAGTAGTAGCAGTTGTAGCAGTCATAGTTGTAGCAACAGTGGTAGCAGTAGCTGTAGCAGTAGCAGCAGCAGTAGTAGTAGCAGCAGCAGTAGCAGCAGAAGAAATAGTAGCAGTTGTAGCAGTCGTAGTAGTAGCAGCAGTGGTCGCAGTTATGGTAGCAACAGTTGCAGCAGTAGCAGTTGAAGTAGTTGGAAGAAATTGCAGAAGTCTCATCACTGATGCTCATCAGTAAACCCTCCTCTTCACAGTTGAGCGGTGCTTCCTGTTTTGAAAGACCACTTCCTGCTTCTCCTTATCTCCCGTTTCGAAACTAAACACAGAATCTTCCACTTTTGTGACTCTGTCTTTAACTGAAGTCATCTTGTCCTGGAGTACCACCTGCTGTGAGGAGAGGACACAGCAGGACACAGCAGGCTTCAGAGTCCAGTCTGAGTTGGCTCTGCTCCAGCTGTTGGACTGAACACAGTCCTGCTTAAGATCTGATTAGACCTGCTTGGGTCTGTGTGTTTCTCTCTCTCTTTGTTTCTGTCTCTCTCTCTGTGTAATCACATGTCTCTCCAGGAGGTGGCAGCAGAGCTAGAGGAGAGTAAGTACCAGCACGCAGAGCCACGCCTCTCTGTGTACGGCCGCTCACCGCAGGAGTGGGACGCTCTTTCGATCTGGTTCCTCCAGCACCGAGTCTACTCCCCCAACATGAGGTGGATCATCCAGGTGCCCCGCATCTAGTGAGTGTCTACAAGTAATGCTACATGTACTACTAAAGTTACTGTTACATGACCTAGGAATCCAAGACCTGATCATGATCCTGGTCAGGTCCAGGTCCAGGTCTTGGCTTTGGTCTTTTCTAGGTCCAGGCCACCTGGCCAACCTAAAGGAAATGATGGAAGACATGAGTTTCTTCTAGTTGTGCTATGGCAGATAGTGGATCTCAGAGTAAAGCCACTGCTCCTCCTCTTAAAGTCTTGTGTTTTCAGTGACATCTTCAGATCAAAGAAGTTGGTGTCAAACTTCGCTGAGATGATGCAGAACGTGTTCCTGCCGCTGTTCGAGGCCACTGTGCGACCGCAGCAGCACCGCGAACTGCACCTGTTCCTCAGATATGTACGGAATAGAGCCAACTAGAGATGACCAATCTCTCTCTCTGGTCTCATTCTGGTCTCTCTCTTGTCTCTCTTTCTGCAGGTGACTGGTTTTGACAGTGTGGATGATGAGTCCAAACACAGTGATCACATGTTTTCATACAAAAGTCCTACACCCGAGTGCTGGGACTCGGAGAAAAACCCTCCGTACACATACTACCTGTTCTACATGTATGCTAACATCATGGTGCTGAACAACCTAAGGAGGTGAGGACTACTGCTGCTACTACTGCTACTGCTGCTACTGCTTCTGCTACTACTGCTGCTACTGCTACTGCTTCTGCTACTACTGCTACTGCTGCTACTGCTTCTGCTACTACTGCTGCTACTGCTACTGCTTCTGCTACTACTGCTACTGCTGCTACTGCTTCTGCTACTACTGCTGCTACTGCTACTGCTTCTGCTACTACTGCTACTGCTGCTACTGCTTCTGCTGCTGCTACTGCTACTGCTTCTGCTACTACTGCTACTGCTGCTACTGCTTCTGCTACTACTGCTGCTACTGCTACTGCTTCTGCTACTACTGCTACTGCTGCTACTGCTTCTGCTACTGCTGCTGCAGAACTATACAATAGGTCTCAGGGCTCGACATTAACAGTTATCCACTTGCCCGAGGCAACTAAAGATTTGGGACCAGTGGGGGCGGGTCCCGGCTCAAAAGTCGCCTAAATGATGTGCGCTGACATGCTGCAATATCACCCCGGGCCGATGGGGGTGGACCCGGAATAAGAATTAACCAATGCTAACATATAGCATTAGGTGACCTCTCGAAAACGTCTTTACAGGATGGTTCAAAAGTAGTCTCTTGGCCCAAAGCTCCGTTCCACATGTGTGTCAATGCTGAGGGGGGTGAATTTTTTTGGACCACTCTAGTTTAGTCACTGTGAATTTTTGAAGGCACTCGTTCAAATGAATTGGACTCTCGCCAGCCGACGCATGCGCAGATGCGTTTTTCCACAATTTTCTTGTAGGCGGGACCACTCGCTGCCATTTTGGATAGCTCCAGTATATGGAGCTATTATTGTTTCAATAATATTTGTGTATGCATAACCAGATTTGTGTGTACGTAAAAAGATTTGTGCATGTGTAACCAGATTTGTATGTGTGTAAAAGAAATATTTGTGCGTGTGTAAAAAAAAAAAAGGGACGTTTTACACACATGTTTTTTTTTTACACACATGTTTTTTTTTACACACGAATCTTTTGACGCAGTCCTGCCTTCGTAGATTCGCAAGTGTAACTTGGACTGTCTGTAACAGAACAATCTGTGTGTAAATAACCGCCTTGTACGAAGAGAAGAACAGAAAAAAGCCTAAGTGCTACGCACAGGCTCTGTTTTACTCTCAAATCTCTTTTTGACACACCTCTGCCGCCAAGCGTGTGTCAAAAAGATTCGTAAGTGTAATGTGGTTGTTCTAGCAGTACACCAGCAGATGGTGCTGTTGTAGCTGGTTATTACCTACACGCAAGCAAACCAGCAGAGTTTGTGGCACTAAAGTGTAGATTTAAAGAAAACCGAAGGATTTAAGAAGAAGAAAAGTTCAGGATGACAAGGGACACTAAAATTCCCACAAAATCCGACCTTTATGAAAGCTGTAGGTTCTCTGTCAGCTGTTTTAGTTTACATTGAGTTCTATGGGGAAAATGTCTGTGTAGCCCACGTGAATTTAGCCTGCAGTACGCGAGTACACCCTATCCAGTTATTATAATAGATCCATGTATAATACAGTGGTGTAAATGACAGGATTTTGAATATGGGAAAAAAATATCATAAACAGCTGCGGTAGTGTATCTTGGTTTGCTTGCGTGTAGGTAATAATCCAATCCAATCCATTTTATTTATATAGCACATTTAAACAACAGTTACGTTTCCAAAGTGCTGCACAAAAAAGTATAAAATAAATAACAATCCTTAGCTTCACCAAGTATAAAAGAATACAAATATATAAAACAGATTAAAACCATAAATAGAAATAAAATAAAAACACAGAAGACCACACAACTCACGCAGTGTTAAAAGCCAAAGAGTAAAAGTGGGTCTTAAGACGAGACTTAAAACACTCTTCTGTGGGGGCCGTCCGGACATGGAGGGGAAGAGCGTTCCAGAGCTTAGGGCCGACCACAGAGAAGGCTCTGTCCCCCCGGGTTTTAAGTCTCGCGTAGGAGTGTAAATTTGGATGAGGTCCGAGATGTAATCAGGGGCCTGTCCATGCAAAGATTTAAAAACAAACAGTAAAATTTTAAAATCAATTCTAAAATGAACAGGGAGCCAGTGCAAAGACGCGAGTACAGGGGTGATGTGTTCGCGCTTTCTGGCCCCCGTTAAAAGTCGTGCTGCTGCGTCCTGGACCAACTGCAACCGGGAAAGGGTTTTCTGATTGACACCAGCATAAAGTGCGTTGCAGTAGTCCAGACGACTGGAAATAAAAGCATGCACAACCTGTTCTAACAAGTTAAAAGATAAGAATGGCTTCACTTTTGATAAAAGCCGAAGATGATAAAAACACGATTTTAAAACGCCATTAACTTGTTTGTCAAATTTAAAATTACTGTCTATAGTGACGCCAAGGCTGGTGACTTTGGAACGCACATAATTTCCTAGTGGTCCCAAGTCAGTAATGGCCGGTCCAAATGTTAAAATTTCCGTTTTTCCCTCATTCATTACTAAAAAAGTCTGGGCTAACCAAGCCTTGACGTCACATAGACAGTTGAGCAGGGGCGTAAGGGGGTCATGGCCTCTCGAAATTGGCATATAAATTTGGCAGTCGTCTGCATAAAAGTGATAGGACACTCCGTGTCTGTTAAAAATCTCCCCAAGTGGGAGGAGATAGAGTGCAAAAAGGATAGGTCCCAAGATAGATCCTTGAGGGACACCACAATAAAGTGAAGCAGAAGAAGATGTGGCATCCCCCAGCCTGACTGAGAAAGACCTCTCCGACAGGTAGGACCTGAACCACTCCAAAGCAGTCCCCCTGACGCCCACACAATCTCTCAGGCGGTCTAAAAGAATTGTGTGGTCAACAGTGTCAAAAGCAGCAGTAAGATCTAAAAGCACTAAAATGGTGGAGCCTCCAGAATCAGTCAATAAAAGCAAATCATTAAAAACCTTTAAAAGTGCAGATTCAGTACTGTGCAAAGCTTTATATCCAGACTGAAATGGGTCTAAAGTGCTATTTTCATTTAAAAAAGGTTGCAGTTGTGCCAAAACACATTTCTCCAATATTTTCGAAACAAAGGCTAGTTTTGAAATGGGGCGATAATTTGATAAAACCATGGGATCAAGACCTGCTTTTTTTTAATCAAAGGCTCAACAACAGCGCTTTTACAAAAGGAAGGCACATTGCCAGTTAGCAAGCTGCTGTTGATGATGTCCCTCACAGAAGAGCCAATAGTGCCCCAAACCTCTTTAAAAAAGCGAGGAGGGACTGGGTCCGTGGGACAGGACGAAGGTTTGAGTTTGCTCATCATCTCAGTCAACACAGACATGGACACTGACACAAACTGACTAAAAACGGCAGAACATCGAGTAGCCATGTTAAAACTCAATGATGAAGGAGCTAGATTGGCTCGAATAATAACCAGCCACAACAGCACCATCTGCTGGTGTACTGCTAGAACAACCACATTACACTTACAAATCTTTTTGACACACGCTTGGCGGCAGAGGTGTGTCAAAAAGAGATTTGTGTGTAAAACAGAGCCTGTGCGTAGCACTTAGGCTTTTTTCCGTTCTTCTCTTCGTACAACGTGGTTATTTACACACAGATTGTTCTGCTACAGATACAAATGTCAAATTACACACACACAAATCTGTTTACGCAGGCACACAGTCCAAGTTACACTTGCGAATCTGCGAAGGTAGGACTGCGTCAAAAGATTTGTGTGTAAAACATACATACAAATCTATTTACACACGCACAAATATTTCTTTTAAGCACACACAAATCTGGTTACGCACACAAAAATCTGGTTACGCACACAAAAATCTGGTTACGCACACACAAATCTGGTTACGCATGCACAAATCTTTTTACGCACACACAAATCTGGTTATGCACGCACAAATCTTTTTACGTACACACAAATCTGGTTACGCACACACAAATCTTTTTACGCACACACAAATCTGTTTACGCACACACAAATATTATTGAAACAATAAAGCTCCATACCAGTAGAGCACAATTTTTGGTCCATTAGTTAGAACGGCGGAGATAGGCGTGACTACGTCCGTTAATATATGCAGTCTATGTTTGGGACGGACGAGTGAGCTGTCAAAGCAAGTTGCCTGATCGGGCAAGTGATGTATTACTTTTACCCTTTCAGGTCGGGAACACATTCCCGCATTTCTTCCTTTGGAGCCGGGAGGGGACAAGTCTGTTTATCTTTTTTGGTAAATTCTCTTCATTTTTAAATTCTCTGGACCAATGAAATGCATCATGATAAACCAGGAATGAAAACTGTCCACGGATCTGCAATTTCCGAATTTTTACCGCTGAAAACGTCATTTCTGTGAAACGTGTGACCGCGGGCACTTTCTGTTGTTTGCGTTACTTGAACAGGATTCACATGCTCCGCTCTGAACCCGGGAGCAACTGCGGCGCTTTGTAACTATACGCTTTGACAACAGCTCAGAGAACACACATCCGTAATGTGCTACCGTGCGCGGACCATAGACGCACGGACAGGACCATAGACGTGCGGACACAACCATATACGCGCTGACAGAACCATTGACGCATTTTCAGGACCATCCCCAGTTTTTTGCAAGTGCGGCTCCCCGTGTCTCCTACCGAAGCACAACCAAAACATACAAAATTAAAGCTCGGGTACCTAAAATTTTCCCACGTAAGCTTTGACATTGGGCAAGTAAAATATAAATGCTATACTTGCCCGATGGCCAAGTGGTTGACAAAGCTTAATGTCAAGGCCTGGGACTACAAGGACTCATAACAATGACTTTCTGAACATTTCCTGTGGACGATTGTTCAGCTGATGTCACGTGTGTGTGTGCGTGTGTGTGTGTGCGTGTGCGTGTGCGTGTGCGTGTGTGTAGAGAGCGTGGTTTGAACACATTCCAGTTCCGTCCTCACTGTGGTGAAGCTGGATCCATCACTCACCTGGTATCGGCTTTTCTCACGGCAGACAATATCTCCCACGGACTGAACCTGAAGAAGGTACACACACACACATACACACACACACACACACACACACACACACACCTTTACTACCTGTGTGTATTTCAGAGCCCTGTACTGCAGTACTTGTACTACTTGGCCCAAGTGCCCATCGCCATGTCTCCTCTGAGCAACAACAGTGTTCCTTCAGTACAACAAGAATCCACTGAGAGAATTCCTCCAGAAGGGACTGTGTGTGTCTCTGTCCACAGATGACCCACTGCTGTTCCACTACACAAAGGTACTAGATACTACTACTACTGCTACTATGACCAATCAACATGGATGAGAACGAAGTGGATTTAAAAATATTGAGGTTGATTAAGACAAAGAGTGAACTCCACAGAATGATGTTTGCTGTGTGTGTGGAGTTGGAGTCATGTCCTTTGGGCTGCGTTATTACTATGTCAGGGAAAATACATTTATTTACAGACAGTGCTGATCCCGTACTGCGCTGCAAGTATCAGAAAGATGGTCGGTAAATTGAAAATTACCAGAGGTCTTAAAAGTACACTGTAGACAACCTCAGGCTGGATGAGGTTGTAGACCTCATCAGGTACGCCCAATTAATTTCTATTAATTCAATAGAAAATTATTTTTTCTTGTTTTTAAAGAATTTGTTTACAAATTAAAGATAACTTGATCTTGAACTAAAGAAACTGGCTCCAGCGAGCTTATGTTCAGATTGTCTTCTTGTGCATTAAGGCTAACACCGTGCTAATGTCACTGGTGATGTCTCACACTCGTCTAATGTTTGCCTCACTACTGCCCCCTGCAGGAGCCCCTGATGGAGGAGTACGCCATTGCTGCTCAGCTCTGGAAGCTCAGCACCTGTGACCTGTGTGAGATCGCCAGAAACAGTGTCCTTCAGAGCGGCCTGTCCCACCAGGTACTACTACTGCTACTATTACTAATATTTACCAAACAAACTCATTCCTCACCCCTCTACCCCCTGTCCCTTCCCCACAGGAGAAGCAGCACTTCCTGGGTCCTCAGTACCTCAAGGACGGTCCTGAAGGAAACGACATCCGCAGATCCAATGTGGCTCAGATCCGGATGTGTTACAGATACGAGACTCTGTGTAATGAACTCAGCTTCCTGGTGGGGGCAGTGAAGAGCGACACTGGACCGTAGAACAGAGACCAGAGATCAGAGTGTAGACCAGAGATCAGAGTGTAGACCAGAGATCAGAGTGTAGACCAGAGATCAGAGTGTAGACCAGAGATCAGAGTGTAGACCAGAGATCAGAGTGTAGACCAGAGATCAAAGTGTAGACCAGAGATCAGAGTGTAGACCAGAAACCAGACTGTAGACCAGAGACCAGACTGTAGACCAGAGACCAGACTGTAGACCAGAGACCAGACTGTAGACTAGAGATCTGGGCTACACAAGTTCTGCTTAAAACCAATGACTCACGTTTATATATCTGTTGTTCAAATGTAAAAAAGTTTTTATATTTGAAAATAATAAAGAAAAGTCTCAACACACGGTATCATTATATAACTGTTATAGTTATATATAGTTTCACATTGTGATGGAGCAGCTGACACATCTCTCCTGGCAACTATGGTAACTAGATTCTAGTCTGAGATTTTTGCTAATTTTTCTGTAATTCCTGGAAGAATACACATTCAAGAAGAGCCAGAGCCGGCTCTACCTACTGAGGAGGCTCAGGTCTTTTGGAGTGCAGGGGCCACTCCTGAAGACCTTCTATGACTCTGGTGGCATCAGCCATCTTATATGGTGTGGTCTGCTGGAGCAGCAGCAGCATCACTGAGAGGTACAAGAAGAAGCTGGACAAGGTCAAGGTAGCTCTTTCTTGGGCTGTTCCCTGGACAAGACAGTGAAGCAGGTGGGGACAAGAGGGTCCTGGACAAACTAACATCTATGCTGGACCATGACTGTCACCCCTTGTAGGACACTCTCAGCTCTAAAGGACCGTTTCAGGCCCCGTTTACATGGAGAAATTCACAAAAACGACCTTGTTCTGCATTCAACGTGCAAAGCATCTGCAACGGTAAACAGTGTAGTTCTAGTGCCCGGCCAGTAGTGGGCAGTGAAGCGTTGCAACCATAGACTGTATATATTAACGGACAGAGTCACGCCTATCTCCGCCGTTCTAACTAATGGGCCAAAATATTTGCTCTACTGGAGCTATCCAAAATGGCCGCGAGTGGTCCCGTCCACAAGAAAATTGTGAAAAAACGCATCTGCTCATGCGTCAGCCGGCGCAGCTCCATTCATTTGATCGAGAGACTTCAAAAATTCACAGCAAGTAAACTAGAGTGGACCAAAAAAATTCACCCCCCTCAGCATTGACACACATGTGGAACGGAGCTTTGGGCCAAGAGCCAACTTTTGGACCATCCTGTAAAGACGTTTTTGAGAGGTCTGCCAATGCTATGTTAGCATTGGCTAATTCTTCTTCTGGGTCCACCCCCATCGGCCCGGGGTGGTATTGCAAGTATGTCAGTGCACGTCATTTTGGCCACTTTGGAGCTGGGACCCTCCCCCACTGGTTGCAATATGACAAGTGCAACCCCCTTCTTTGCGTGATCTTGTTTGGACAGAGGAAAAAATAGAATTGCTCCTCAATTTGAAGGGACGCAACTCTATCGTTTTACTGTTGCAGCGTGTCTGATTAAACAAGGTCTCAGTGACAGACTTGTTCACCCTCACTGTTGTACCGTGGGTGGCAGTCTTCAGGCGTCGGACTGGGGGGTAAAGGGTACCGAGTACCCAGGGCGCAAGGTGGGGAGGGGCTCTCTAAAGTGTGTCTTTATATGTATTTGTATTATGCATTAACGTAGTGGGGGCCCATCGAGTGAGTTTGTACCCAGGGCCCAGAATTTGGTGCTACGTCCCTGCAATGCACTCAAAAAGAAAGAGCTCCACTTACTTTATTTATAGAACAATGCCAAGTCTTTACCTGCTATAATATAATACTATACATCAATATTATATATTCCATAAATCGGATAATTCTGTTCTGATCACTTGTCACTTTACCTGTTGCTGCTTTTACTAAGTGTTTTGCCCAAGGACACAACGACAGAAGACATGAGTGGTAGCAGTTGGAATAAATAGAGTTGCATTTTATTTTATTAGCTTAAATAATGCATCTCGTTTAATGGGTGTAACCCGGGTGCTCTTATTTCTCCTTTTATTATGCTGTAGTATGCAACAACGGCATTGGAATTTCCCGACTGTGGGACGAATATAGGCTTATCTTATGTCACAATGTTTCACATCTCCTCTCGGCTCTTTCTGGTCCGTCTCTCTGGACTTTCTCTGGTCTCTCATTCTGGTCTCTCATTCTGGTCTCTCTCTGTTCTCTCTTCGTTCTCTATCTGGTCTCTTTCTGGTCTTACTCTCCAGTCTCTCTCCAATCTGTTCCTGGTCAGCTGCTTTTTTCCTGCAGTGACCCGTGTTTTCCGTGGTCCAGGCTGGCGCGCCGACGTCACGGAGAGCGTGAGTGGGCGTGTCCGGGAGGTGTCATGGCGGCCCCCTGTGGAGAGAGGGCAAGCACGATTTGCGACTCACGGCGACTTCCGGTGACTCGCGTGACTCAGGCGCTCTGAGTCGCGGCTCACGCTCAGCATTCAGGGGTCGTGGCTCACGGTTATCAATTTAACTTTTTAGGGGTATCTGTGGATTATCAATGACACATTGTGGATCTGGAGGCATATATTTACAAGTAACCAGTATGTTACACACTCTTCATCATCTGGTATGTGTTTATATAGCTCTCCATGTTCGTTAACCACTGACTCAGGAGCTGTGAGTCGCGACTCAGCAGTCAGAAGTCGAGGCTCACAGTTAAAAATACCACAAATCTTTGCTTTTTAGGGGTTTCTGGGAATTTCTATTGAGACAATATGGATCTGGAGGCATAGTTTACATGTAATCAGTATGTTACACACTCTTCATCAGCTGGTATTTGTTTGTATAGATCTCTATGAACTGTTCACCACTGACTCACAGCTCCTGAGTCGCGGCTTAGCAGTCAGAAGTCATAGCTCACGGTTAAAAATACCACAAATCTGTGCTTTTTAGGGGTATCTGGGAATTATTAGGGGCAACAGTGACTCAATTGGCAGAGCTTTGGTCTTTGGACCTAATGATCGTGGGGTCGTGCCCCCACAACCACCTGCTCCCACTGAAGCAAGACGCCCCATCGTGGTATCTTATATACAGTCATGGGACCTCATGAATGAGTATGAGCACAAGTATGTGGAAACGGCACAAGTATGTGGAAACGGCACAATACTAATATTGGTATTGGTGCATCCTTAGTAAAATAAACAGACTCAGTATTAGCAGCGCAGGTTTACAGTCATAGTGCAAGTGGTTGATTAAGTGATACAGGCCTAAATACAGATTATTACATGTATTTGCAGGGCTTATTTCATATTCTAATGAAAAAGACTTTTTAGGAGTATTTATGAATTATTAATGTATCTGGATGAACATTTTCCATGTCCTCAGTGCCTCATACATACTTTACCAGCTGATATGTGTTTGTATTACTCTATTGTTAACAAGTGACTTACGAGACATAAGTCAGGACTCGTCTGCTGACACCAGGGGGCGCTGTCTAATCTCATGTTGAATCATGCACGACGTTGGACATCTCGCTTGCAATTTAAATTTCACCAAAATATTGAGGTAGGTTATTTTGTTTCGTTTTTTGGAATCTGTCTTTTAATCATTTTAACATTTTAAAGGGCATGACATTTAAACAGGAAAAAAAAAAAAAACTTGTGTAAAATTCCTTGGTTGTAATTCTGTGGCTTCAAAGAATACACAAAACTTGCAGATACAGAGCAGAGTGTATACTCCATAGGACAAAAGATGAGGCAAGGTGTATAACACAGGTTTGGTCACATAAGAAATAAATAACTAAAAAACCACTGAGACATTATTATTTGTTATTTATTAATAATGCTAAAGGCATTTGAAAAAATACATACAATACACAAACAAACACAATTATAAAAGCCACTTGTACCAATTTGTCCTTATAGTAATATAATGTGGATGACAAAGTGAGCCAAGAACCCAGAGTAGAGATTTCTTTGTCTTTGAACAAACACAAGCATCAGGGCATTTCATTTCAGGGCATTTTAATTCTAAAAAAAATGATTATTGTTAACTTTAGAGGATAGTGTGCTGAGGTGGACTTACTATTGTAAATAGAGAATTAAAGAGAAAGACCCTAATGACATAATTTTATATGATCATGTTACCGAACCCAGATGTTCAAAATACAGAATTCAAGTAACTTCTGTTGTGGTGAAATGTTTGAAGATGCTTATTTGAGCCTTTGGTGGCCCAGTGGCTGTATGACTGCTGCATGGCACCTGTACTTTCCCTCATAACTGCCGTGATCATCCTGAATCAAATGTTTTAGGGTTTCCAAAAAGTGTAGCTCCCTTATACCCTTTAAACATCTGATCCTGGAGCATTATACAGGATACAAATGCAGTGGAAATACAGGTGTCATGCTGCAGCCATCAAGACATGTTTTTCTCCTTAATGCCTCTTTTCTCTCATTTCTTTTCTATGCAAAAATTAAGTGTAGTTAACCGGTTATTCTTGAATTACAGAACTACTGAGACGACACATCAAGATGAGCCACACACAGAAGAGAAGGAAAACAAACTTTATAAAAAAATGCACAACGTAATTCACTTTAATAGACCAATTATAAAGAATAAAGATTTGGTTTAGGTTTGATACATTTCAGTTTTGCACTTGGCTGTAGCTAATACATTTGCACACATTGCACTATAACATGAACATTTGTTTCCACATGAGCTGTTACTTTGTCTCCCAATACAGGAACATATACAGCTCAGTCATGAATAGCAGCAGAGTGGTGCCGCACATCACTGGAAGGACATGTTGAGCTACGTGCTAATGTATAGAATAAGCCCACACCTGTTCAAAAAGGTGTTGCTGCGGGTTCGAAGTAGTCATTCTGCGACCTGCAGGACAGAGGCGTGTCGTGAAGTAGGCGTGTAAACTATGCCTCCAGATCCATATAGTCTCATTAGAAATTCCCAGATACCCCTAAAAAGCAAAAATATGCTGTATTTTAACTGTGAGCCACGACTCACAGCTCCTGAGCCGCAACTCACAGCTCCTGAGCCGCGACTCACAGCTCCTGAGCCGCGACTCACAGCTCCTGAGCCGCGACTCACAGCTCCTGAGCCGCGACTCACAGCTCCTGAGCCGCGACTCACAGCTCCTGAGTCAGTGGTTAACGAACATGGAGAGCTATATAAACACATACCAGATGATGAAGAGTGTGTAACATACTGGTTACTTGTAAATATATGCCTCCAGATCCACAATGTGTCATTGATAATCAACAGATACCCCTAAAAAGCTAAATTGATAACCGTGAGCCACAACTTCTGGCTGCTGAGTCGCGGCTCACAGCGCCTGAGTCACGCGAGTCACCGGAAGTTGCCGTGAGTCGCAAATAGTGCTTGCCCTTTCTGCCCCTGTGTGTGCTCTCGGCTGCAGTTTCTCTGATCAAACACAAACGCGTTTATTTTCCTGCTGTTAATCAATTCGGGCTTGGCTTGGACTTCTGCGTGTGTGTTGTCACAGCTGCGAAGACATGGGTACCGTGCACGCGCGGGTGAGGTTCATGCACGCGCACATTCACTGGCACGCGCAATGGGGACAAAGGGCGAACGCGCTTCTTGTGGTTCAGCTGTTTCCTCTGAACTAGCACATAGTGATGCTAATATAATAATAATGTTGTCTATATATATATGTATATATTAGTATGTGTGTGCATTGATGGATATAGATATGTACAGTGGGGCTAAAAAGTATTTAGTCAGCTACCGATTGTGCAAGTTCTCCCACTTAAAATAGTGACAGAGGTCTGTAATTTTCATCATAGGTACACTTCAACAGTGAGAGACAGAATGTGAAAAAAAAATCACATTGTAGGATTTTTTAAGAATTTATTTGTAAATTATGGTGCAAAATAGGTATTTGGTCACTTCAAACAAGGAAGATCTCTGGCTCTCACAGACCTGTAACTTTTTCTTTAAGAAGCTCTTCTGTCCTCCACTCGTTACCTGTATTAATGGCACCTATTTGAACTCGTTATCTGTATAAAAGACACCTGTCCACAGCCTCAAACAGTCAGACTCCAAACTCCACTATGGCCAAGACCAAAGAGCTGTCGAAGGACACCAGGAAAAGAATTGTAGACCTGTACCAGGCTGGGAAGAGTGAATCTACAATAGGCAAGCAGCTTGGTGTGAACAAATCAGCTGTGGGAGCAATTATCAGAAAATGGAAGACATACAAGACCACTGATAATCTCGCTCGATCTGGGGCTTCACGCAAGATCTCATCCCGTGGGGTCAAAATGATCATGAGAACGGTGATCAAAAATCCCAGAACCACACGGGGGGACCTGGTGAATGACCTGCAGAGAGCTGGGACCAAAGTAACAAAGGTTACTACCATCAGTAACACACTACGGCGTCAGGGAATCAAATCCTGCAGTGCCAGACTGTCCCCTGCTGAAGCCAGTGCATGTCCAGGCCCGTCTGAAGTTTGCCAGAGAGCACATGGATGATACAGCAGAGGATTGGAAGAATGTCATGTGGTCAGATGAAACCAAAGTAGAACTGTTTGATATAAACTCAACTCGTCATGTTTGGAGGAAGAAGAATACTGAGTTGCATCCCAAGAACACCATACCTACTGTGAAGCATGGGGGTGGAAACGTCATGCTTTGGGGCTGTTTTTTTACTAAGGGGACAGAACGACTGATCCGTGTTAAGGAGAGAATGAATGGGGCCATGTCTCGTGAGATTTTGAGCCAAAACCTCACGAGTCAGTGAGAGCTTTGAAGAGAGAGCTTTGAAGATGAAACGTGGCTGGGTCTTCCAGCATGACAATGATCCCAAACACACCGCCCGGGCAACGAAGGAGTGGCTCCGTAAGAAGCATTTGAAAGTCCTGGAGTGGCCTAGCCAGTCTCCAGACCTCAACCCCATTGAAAATCTGTGGAGGGAGTTGAAAGTCCGTGTTGCTCGGCGACAGCCCCAAAACATCACTGCTCTCAAGAAGATCTGCATGGAGGAATGGGCCAAAATACCAGCTACTGTGTGTGCAAACCTGGTAAAGACCTATAGTAATCGTTTGACCTCTGTTATTGCCAACAAAGGTTATATTACAAAGTATTGAGTTTATTGACCAAATACTTATTTTCCACCATAATTTACAAATAAATTCTTTAAAAATCCTACAATGTGAATTCCTGGATTTTTTTTTTTCACATTCTGTCTCTCAAGTGGGAGAACCTGCACAATCTGTGGCTGACTAAATACTTGTGTGCGTGTGCGTGCGTGCGTGTACACGTACTGGGTGCAGCCCTGACTGCCACCCCCCGACCCAGAAATGGCTGTATATGTAGTTTTATTGTTGTGGACACTGGCTGTTGATGATGATGTAGTGGATATAACTGAGCTGCATAAAAGCAGGATACTCAAAATGATAGTAAATCAATGATATTTTTAGCGCCTTATAACAGGGCCATACAGATCTTTACAGATTGGTGTGGGGATTAGTATGAGAGAAAGATCTGAGAGAGAGACCAGAAAGGATACAGGACCTCGTCCACAACAGAAGTTAAAGGGCAACGCAAGCTATTGACAGGGGAATGGAGGCTTCCGTTCAGGGCCATGTGAACAAAGAAAGCATGATGAATTTGAGCTGAGGCAGATGAAGCTGAGTGTGTTGTTGTGTTGTCCCCACAGTCTCTGGAGCCGCTCCCCATGCAGGGCCCTGACCTGGGGGTGCAGCCGGACGACATTGAGGCCCCAAGAGCTGAGCCCGAAGCCACACAGGAAGTGCTGGAGAACAGAGACGTAAAGCACAGATTCTACTGTTTTGATGTTACGCTGGTCCTTTAACGTGACACTGTCTTGCTGTTTCACAGATATGTTTGTGTCCAATTTTGTGTGCATTATTTTTCTGGTCTCCCTCTCTGGTATCGTTCTCTTCTCTCTCTTTCTGGTCTCAGTCTCCAGTCTCTCACTCTGGCCTCTCTGACGCTGGTCTCTCTGACACAGCACTCTGACTCTGGTCCGTGAGTCTGGGCTGTCTCACTCTGGTCTCTCTAATTCTGGTCTCTGACTCTGGTCTCTTGTCTGGCAGGTCGTGGTCCAGCGGGTCCATGTGGATGGTTTGGGTCGGACCAAAGAGGACTTCCTGACGTATGAGATCAAAGAGGTTTTCAGAGCAAAGAGCCTGATTGACGTACGTTCCCCTTGTCTGTGTCTCCCCAGTCTCCCCAGCCTAACCCAAGGTCTGTCTCCCCGACAGGTCATGAAGAGGTCGCACGAAGCCCGCCAGAAGCTTCTGCGTCTTGGCATCTTCAGGAAAGTCAACGTGGTCATCGACACGTCCAGAGGTCTGAGGTCTGACCAGAGAGAGAGCCCAGAGAGGGAGAGCCCAGCGAGGGAGAGCCCAGCGAGGGAGAGCCCAGCGAGGGAGAGCCCAGCGAGGGAGAGCCCAGCGAGGGAGAGCCCAGAGAGGGAGAGCCCAGAGAGGGAGAGCCCAGAGAGGGAGAGCCCAGAGAGGGAGAGCCCAGAGAGGGAGAGCCCAGAGAGGGAGAGCCCAGAGAGGGAGAGCCCAGAGAGGGAGAGCCCAGAGAGGGAGAGATGTGTGCATTAAAACATACTAAACACAGACTGTAATCTCCTCTGTGTCCAGGAGAGGGCGCTCTTCCTAACGGTCTGGAGGTGACCTTCCACGTGACAGAGCTGAGGAGAGTCACGGGCAGCTACCACACGACCGTGGGCAACAATGAGGGCAACATGGTGCGTACGACAGTAGAGGCTTTCGAGCCCGCTCACAAATACAGCTTGAGATGTGACTGTGGTGTGACGGCGCTCTCTATCGCCCCCTAGGTTCTGGGGGTGAAGCTGCCGAACCTCTGCGGTCGAGCGGAGCGACTGTGTTTGCAGTTTTCATTCGGCTCCAGAGAAACATCATACGGAATATCACTCTTCAAACCCCAACCAGGGAACATCCAACGCAGGTACAGGAGTCTGAAGCAGGTCTAAAGAAAGCCGGACTAAAGCCGGACCAATGCCGGACTAGAGGAGGACTAGAGGAGGACTAGAGGAGGACTAGAGGAGGACTAGAGGAGGACTAGAGGAGGACTAGAGGAGGACTAGAGGAGGACTAGTGGCAGCAGTAGATTTTTTTTTGTTGTATTAGCATTAGTATGAGCTTTAAGGTTCGAGCTTTAAGGGTCGCTCACCTATGACACGTTCGTCATAGGTGACACAAAACGTGTCAGGTAATTTAGCAGCTAGCCCACTAGCTTCTTTACTTTTTTGTCTTATGAAAATGACCTTTTCTAAGCATTAAACGTAAGAAGACACAATTATGTTTATACATTTAATCAGCATGAGCATTAGCAGTAACATTAGCATGAGTAGTATTATTACTAATGCTTTAGCATTAGTAGTATTAGTAAAATCATCAATAGCACCGGTATTCTCATTAGCTTTAAGAGTTATGGTAGCTAGGGAGTAGCATTGGCTGTGGCATCAGTATTAGGAGTACTTCTGTAACCTCTTCTCTTCTTCTAGTCTCTCGCTGAACGCCTACAAAGTCAGTGGACAGTTTCCCTGGAGTTCTCTGAGGGAAACAGACCGAGGAGCTTCTGCAGAACTCACTGTGAGTACAGCAGGGAAGGACCGAGCAGAGCAGGGATGGGAGATAGCTCAGAGGGGCTGTAGAGGAGGTATATATATATATATATATATATATATATGTCTCAGTCCTATGTCAGAGGTCTGTCCGTGTGTGGAGTGTCCCCTGTCTCTGTGATAATGATACAGTCTGGTATGTCCTCAGTTCCCTGTGTGGAAGACGTCCCAGAGCTTGAAGTTTGAGTCCGTTTGGAGAGAAGTGTCGTGTTTGTCTAAAACTGCAGCATTTGCCGTGAGACAAGAATCAGGACACTCTCTGAAGTCTGCACTGTCTGTGAGTCACATGGACCAGTATCATGGTCTACTGGTCCATACTACTAATGCTACTGCTTCTGCAAATACTGCTGCTAATGCTAATACTACTCCTGCAGTATTCTCAAGTAGCTCAATACTTTCTCTGTCCTCAGCACTCTATGGTCCTCGACTCTCGTAGTTCCACCATTTTACCAAAATCTGGAGCTCTGCTGCGTGTCCAGCAGGTCAGAGGTCACATGTTTATTTCAGATTGAAACATACATTATTTATAACCCCTGCTACCTCTCAGGAACTTGCTGGATTCTCTGCTGGAGATGTTAGTTTCCTCAAAGAAAATGTGGAACTGGAGCTGAACAAGAGTCTGATCTGGGACACTGTGAGAGACACTCTACCTTCATCTCTGTGTGCCCTGTCTCTGTGTGCCCTGTCTCTGTGTGCCCTGTCTCTGTGTGCCCTGTCTCTGTGTAACGCTCCCTGGTGCTCAGTCCTGCTCTTTGTTGCTCTACAGGTTTTGTCTCTGTCTCTGTGGGGGGGACTCCTGCTGCCTATTGGCGACACCACCACCAGCATCTGTGACAGGTGAGAAAAACACCTGATGATGGCTAAGATGAGGGACAGGTGAGAGAGAAAACCCTGATGATGGCTGAGATGGCTGAACCGTGACCATCCCATGGATCTAATATAATAACTGGATAGGGTATTACTAGCTTGGAGCTGAAGAACCATGTGCTCGGGGGATTCTCGCGGTACTGCAGACTGAACCAGACTAAAAATTCACGTGGGCTACCCAGACATTTTCCCCATAGAACTCAATGTAAACTAAAACTCGAACTCAGCTGACAGAGAACCTGCAGCTTTCATAAAGGTCGGATTTTGTGGGGATTTTAGAGTCCTTTGTCATCCTGAACTTTTTTTCCTCTTAAATCCTTTGGTTTTGTTTAAATCCACACTAGTGCCACAAACTCTGCCCGTCTGGCTCCTGCTCTAACTCCCGCTCTGATGAACAGCTCTGATTGGTCAGAGCGCGGTCGAGCCCCTCTGTGCACGTGCGTGAGACCCAAGGGCGTAGGTTTGCGTGGGGACCATGGGGACATGTCCCCACCAATATTTGGTGAGGACTAAAAAGTCCCCACCAAAATGACATGATGTCCCGGGACCCGGACGGTCCGGGACACATGTCTTCCGTTTGTGCACACGTCGCGCCTCCTCCTCGCCTCCAGAGCAACAGCAGCAGCAGCAGCACGTGACCCGTTCCATTCTCTGCAGTGATTGGCTGTCTTCTTCAGCGCCAAACTGAAGCACTGAGCGACTGTTTAATTTTTTTAAGTTAGCCAGCGTGAAGCAAGTGTTTTTTTTCGTTCCCTGAGCGTTGTAGCACGTGAGTAATCAGAGGAAAGTACTGTAGATCTATTACCATTCAAAGTACTTACGTTATTTCTAATCTGTCAGCGCACTGTTTAATGTTCCGAGGAGCTCACACGGCACAGAGACAGAACAGAACTGGCTCCAATAAAGAAACAGGTTGGTTGAAAGGCTGAAAAAATACTTATTGTGCTCTTACTATCCAAAATGTATGAGTGGGTGTGTTGTGTGAATCAGGATAAACTAGGGATGAAAATATTCCACGGATCCACGATTTACAACCTTTATCTGCTGATAATGTAATTTCTGTGAAATGTGTGACAGCACGTCCTGGTGCAGCTGCTGCCGCTTTGTAATGACAGCCGCGGCGCTCAGTGAAAGCACAGCTCTAACATGGTACCGAGCTCGGACCATATGCAGACAGAACCATGTTGCAAGTGCGGGTCTCCCTCGTATCTCCCGCGTTTCTCCCCTGTGTCTCTGACATGTCTCTCCCCTGACTCTTCCCAAAGCGCAACCAGCGCTTCCGAAATTAAAGCTCGGATACCTAAATTTTCCATTGCGTTAACGATGCATGTTGGTTGTGCGCAAAACACACCACAACAAGTCATTTAAGTTTTTATTTTGCATACTTAAGAGCCCTGTGAGTCATTACTTGCCTTTTTGGGTTGTGAGTGGAATAAATAAAAAAGAAAATATAGAAAAATCCACAGTTACTTATTGCCAAACTCTTGTTAACTCATTGTATTGAGAAATACTATGTAACTTTTGACATTGGCCAAGTTATGTAAATGATTCTGCAGTTCATGTATATGAATGTCTGTTTTTGATTGTCTATACCTTCTTATATAATTTAGAAAAAATGCCACCTCCACAAAAAAAGATAAAAGATATCAGGAGCTTTTTTAACAGTTGGAAAGTAAGTAAAAGAAAGCACAAGTAATAGCAAATTATGAATTGTGATGATTAATCTTCTGTTAACATACATAGGAAACTCAACCAACAAAAGAGAACAATATAGGGAATGTTGAGGTAGAAGCAACAGGCCCTTCAGTGCATCAGGCGAGGTTGGAATTTTGTAGGTATGCATGGGACTATGAATTGTTTTTAGAGATTGATCGTATATGTCAAACAATGTAGTGAGCTACTCACTGTAGATTCTAATTCAATATTTTCTCCTCTGTTTTTATTTATTATAGGAAATTGAAAGATCAGAGCATGATTTATTTCAAGTATCGAGAGCAGTTCCTGAACTGTTAGAGCCTCAGGTGAGGGCTATTATGTAGATTTGGATTAGGTTTAAGTCAGTATAGAATGAACGCAACACAAAACTCACAAGCTCTGATCCAATTGATTTTGTTTTAACTATTAGAAAAAATCCTTAACTGCTTCTCATTCAGTCTACAGCTGAGTTTAGTATAGAAGGCAACACACTATTGCAAATATAGTGTGTGATTACACAACAAATTCTGGGGGAGAAACTCTGGACCCCGTGTCAATGGGTGTAGACCCAGGTCGTAGTGAATGTCCCCACCAAGATTGGAACCAAACCTACACCATTGGTGAGACCCACACACACGTACTTGGCGCAACGCATTATGGGAGATAATCCACTGCGCAGAACTGGGGGGACCAGACGATGCCCAAATACAGGCGAGTTTCCCATGGATCTTTGCAAGTTCCAGGCGGATTTTGCTAATATGTCAGCGACCGTGCCGGCACAATGCGCCACTGAGCACAAACCATTCATTTGAATACAGCGCCATCTTGGATCGCAGGGGCTTGGACCATCCTCAACACAGACCTGCAGTAGTGTACAGTGTGGTAGGCAGTACCACATCCCTCCTCTGGAGGCAGTGTATCCTTGTCTTCTCTAACTAATGTGTCTACTTCAGGTTCTATCTGGGAGGTCCGACCAGTGTGAGGGGCTTCAGCCGGAACAGCATGGGCCCCCAGAGCGGAGGTCAGGACCAGAACCAGAACTGGACCAGGACTGGACCAGAACCAGGATTAGACTGGACCAGAACCAGGAATAGACTGGACCATGACTGGACCAGAACCCAGATTTGAACGGGCCGGAGACTGGACCAAGACTCGTTCCTTCTTTTAATTTGTTATTTATTTCAAACATGCACAAGATACAAACAATTATTCACAGAAAAATATGAAAATAAGAAAACAAGAAAACCTGTGCATAGTTCGAATAAATGAGAGGGGATTGGACTAATATAAGCTTTTTGCCTCAACCAATCCCTTTTCAGACACATACATTGAGGTCCACAAGTGTTCGCACAGCCTGCAATTCTGCAAGTTCTCCCCCTTAGAAAATAATGAGAGGTCTGATATGTTCATCATAGATGGATTTCCACTGTTAGTCATAATTTAAAAGGAAAATCTGGAAATCACAATTTATGAGTTTTTAATTATTTCTTTGTACGTTACTGGGGTTCATAAGTATGTGCCCACATGAAAATCAGACTCCTAAAGAGCTGACAGTCCAAGTAATGACCCACCCACCACCCCTTTGAGTTAAAGTCACCTGTGCAGCCCACAGTCCGTCAAGGTCCAACTGCGACTATGGGCAAGACCAAAGAGCTGTCAGAGACCAGAGACAAAGTTGTAGAGCTCCATACAGCTGGAAAATCGGACAATTGGGAAGCAGCTTGGTGCAGTAGTTGTTAGAAAATGGAAGAGGCTAAACATGTTTGTAATCTACCTCAGACTGGGGCTCTGTGCAAGACCTCTCCTCGTGGGGCATCACTAATTTTCAAAAGTGAGGAATCAGCCCAGAATCTACACGGCAGGAGCTGGTGAATGACCTGAAGAGAGCTGGACCCATGGCTATTATAAATGGAATACTACTACGTAGTGGTTTAAAATCATGCATCGCTTGGACGGTTCCCCTACTTCAGCCCGTCTAAAGTTTGGGACCATCTGAATGATCCAGAGTCAAGGGAGAATGTTATGTGGTCAGTAGAGACCAAAATAGAACTTTTTGGTATATACAGTTGGTTTTGGAGGAAAAAGATGGATGAGTATGAGCCCAAGAACACCACCCTTACACTAAATCCAACAGAAAATGTGCAATATAGAACCACATGTGTCACTGTCACTTTACTTCACTGTGTCCCAGAGCCTCATCCTGCTAATGTACAGATGTAAACACACTGCTGCTAACATGTACAGAGGCTAACATATAACTACATATTGCTTGCACTAGAATACACAGTACTTTATACTTGCCTCTTAATTTGACAAATGTAAAAGAGCCCCGAAACCTGACAAATGTAGTGAAGATTTGTGTTGAGGAGTGGGCCAAAATCCCTGTTGCCGTTTGCGCAATACTGGTGAAGACCTATAGGAAACGTTTGACCTTTTTATTGCAAACAAAGGCTTCTGCACAAAATATTAACACTGAGGCTATCATGTGTGCAAATACTTATGATCCCCAGTTCTTTGTTTGCTTAAAAAAATAATTTGTGATTTCCGGATTTTTCTTCTAACAGTGAAAATACACTTATGATGAACATTTGAGATCTCTCCCTAATTTCCAAGTGGGACAACACTTGTGGACCTCCACATATTATGTTTATTTTTTATTTTTTTATTTATTTACAAATTTAAACATATCTTCAATTCCTCATCAAAATTATTCCAAAAGTCTTTAATGTAGTCCTAAATTAAGGTGGACAGGAATGGACTAGGACTGACCAGAACTAGGACTAAGAGCAGGACCAGGACCAAGACTAAGACTAAACCAGAACCAAGACTAAGACTAAACCAGGACCAGACCAGGACTAGGACTGAACTAAGGCTGGATGAGACTAGCTCTAAAGTCGGACTAAAGTAGGTCCAAAATGGGTTGTCCTTGCTGTCGGAGAGCACCTTGTGTGCCTGGTCCTCATCTTGGTCTTGTGTCCTCAGGTGATTACCTAGGGGGGGAGGCCTTTTGGGCTGGGGGCCTCCATCTCTTCTCTCCGCTTCCATTTGCTCACAGAAAAAGAGGATTCATGGATCTGTTCCGGACGCACTTCTTTCTCAACGCCGGAAACCTGTGTAACTTAAACTACGGTTAGACAAATGAAGGCCCCTCTCTCACTCTCTCGCTCTCTGGTCTCGCTCTCTGGTCTCGCTCTCTGGTCTCGCTCTCTGGTCTCGCTCTCTGGTCTCGCTCTCTGGTCTCGCTCTCTGGTCTCGCTCTCTGGTCTCGCGCTTCATTTGTATTTCTGTGTGTGTCCAGGAGAGGGCCCCACGGCTCACTTGCAGCGCCTGGCAGAGTGTGTCCGCTGGTCATATGGTCTGGGGCTGGTCCTTCGCTTGGGCAACATCGCACGACTGGAGCTGAATTACTGCGTCCCCATGGGAGTGCAGAGCGGAGACCGGTGAGGACTAGGATTTAGTGGAATAAGAGACACAAAACTGGGATGGACCAGAGAGGGAGAGCCCAGTGAGAGAGCAGAGTGACATAAAACGGGAATTTCTTGTGTTTCAGGATCTGTGACGGTGTACAGTTCGGTGCCGGTATCCGCTTCCTATGAGCTGCTATTATTGAGGAGGACTTTTATTCTGAAGGATTTGTTTGTGTTGTTAAACTCGTTCTGTAAATTAAACTTGTGTCGTTGGTGTTTCTGCTTTTTCTATTTGAGTTTGAGAAGATTGAATAAAACGAGGTGCTCACTGGTGTCAGGGGGCGTCCAGCAGCGTCAGACGTTTGTTCCTGGGATGAGACCAGTGAGAAACCAGCATGGGAAACCAGTCAGAGACTGTTAATCTGATTAACCATAAGATTCATAGTGAACACTCAATTAAAAAATAAAATTGTGAGCCACTGAAGCAGCATGATGGCGCAGTTTGCATGTTCTCCCCGCGTCTGCATAGGTTTCCTTACCACTAAACCATAGAAACGCAAGTCTGGCATTTGCCTCCTGTACCGGCAACCCCGCTCCCATCTCCGTGTGGTGTGAGAGGACAAATGCTAAAAAAAAATCACTATTAACTATTAACTATTGTATAAGGATTACTTACTTACATTTTTGACATCATATTGAGAGACTGTATCATTCCATGTGTAAGGTTAAAGACTTGATCAGGATTGTCTCAAGATAAATTCATACTCTTTTGTATTTGTTCCAATCTAAACTAAACATGTAATTTAATTCTAACAATAGTTTTAATAGCTGTATTTCAGGCAGATCAGCTTTTTCAGATGTAAGGTCCATAGATAGTGATAAGGTCCCGATGGTGCGGCTCAGTCTTCTAAGCGTGCGCCTGCGCATTAGAGTGTTAGCATTAACCTGTTAGCTACACGCTGTTACCACCGCGGGAGGACTGACTCAAGCCCGCTCTACTCGTTCCACTCCACGCTCCTGTGATCCGTATCTCGGAGCTCTTCACACGGACATACTGGTACTCTCCCCGGGGTCCTGCTTCACCTCAGGCCGCTGCGTGGAGCTCCTGTAGCCGGGGGAAGGCGCGGAGATGGCGGTCACTATCGAGGACTTGTACCGCAGTTATGGCGTGTTAGCAGACGCCAAAGACAATATGAGCCAGGTGGGTCACAACCGGGACCAGGACCACGACTTTCCCCTGGGAGACGCACGACTCTATTTGCATTCTAATGCCCTTAATGCGGCTGCTGTACCTCCACGTACCGCTTTGTTTTGGCTGTTATATAATAGAGCTAAGCTAACATGCTAACAGGCTAATGAATGAACGCGGTTCTCGAACACAGTTCATGAAGCAGTAATTTGTACAGAGAAGGCACAGGTCTTACTATCGTACAGATATTTAGTAAGCAGTTGGAGTCAAACCCTTTTAAAGCTTACAATCTGTGTAATTGTTGCATTCAACATTTTCACTATCGGATCCATTACGCGACCCGGCAACGGATGAAGCGGAAGAAAACGGACGGACGGATCCATTATGCTAGTTGTAGTTTATTTGAATGGCACAGATTGTATCCATGGCAACTCGTAATTTACTCAACAAGATTGAAAGCACAAGTATCATATTGTGAAATTATAAATCACAATAGCAGTCGTCTTGGAGGACTATCGTGTATTCACAACAGAACAGAGTATCAAACAGTTCCAACCCAGGAAATGTAATAATTACAAATACATGTGATCCTGTAGACTCAGGGGGAAAAAAATCCCAGTGGGAAAAAGTGAGAAACCTTGGAGAACTAGGGAAACCCACAGGGAGGGAGACCCATTTGAGAAAGGGATCCGCTCCTCCGGACGGACAGGCTAATGATCTAGGACCTAAGCTAGCTACAGAACGTGGACCAGTGGCCGCTGAACGTGGACAGGTCCGGTGCAGGACCGAAGCACTCCCAGGCGGGTCGGGCGCTGAACCTGATGTAACTTAAGAATGAAGTCTTCTGACATATGTTCAGGTCCACTTCTGCTGCAGATTTCACTGTTTGAGAATTTTCATGAGGACCTATGGATCTGCTACATTTCTGTCAAAGGAGACAAAATAAACACATTTGATCTTGTTTTTTTCCTCAGCACAAAGATGCTTACCAAGTGATCCTGAACGGCGTGAAGGGCGGAGCCAAAGAGAAGCGGCTCGCCGCTCAGTTCATCCCCAAATTCTTCAGTCAGTTTCCAGAACTTTCTGACGCCGCAATCAACGCTCAGCTGGACCTGTGCGAGGACGAGGATGTATCGGTGAGTTTTCTAGAGCCGCGTTCAGACCGGACCATGCGTCGCGTTTCAATGCAAAGTCTATGGTGACCCGCGTTGCAGCGTCAACGCACCGACCTCCGTGAACACATATTACTGTTGTATAAGGCCCGTGGAATGTCTGTGAGCAAAGACACGCTGCAAAGCTGAATATTGGAGAAGATTTGTACACAAGAAGCCGCTAGCATAGCTCTGTTAGCATCAGAGCCGGCCGGCTACTTCCGGTACTTCCGGCTCGCGTCAGGACGTTCTGGTGTGAAGTCCTCTGCGTCTGAAAACTAGAGAATGCGCGTCTGGTGAGCGGGGCTTCAGCGTTTGAGCGTTTGCGGTCTGAATGCACCATAGGCCGCTGCTTCTCTCAGGTTTCTCAATAGTCCCTCTTGTCTCTTTATCTGGTCTCTCCATTTGTTTGATTGTCTTGTGTTTCAGATTCGGCGTCAGGCCATAAAGGAGCTTCCGCGCTTTGCCACCGGAGAAAACATCCCGAGAGTGGCAGACATCCTCACCCAGCTGCTGCAGACGGGTGAGACCAGCGAGACAGAGACCAGCGAGACAGAGACCAGCGAGACAGAGACCAGCGAGACAGAGACCAGCGAGACAGAGACCAGCGAGACAGAGACCAGCGAGACAGAGACCAGCGAGACAGAGACCAGCGAGACATGTAGGATGTCTTTTACTTTGTGGACGTTTGTTTACTGGGTTTTCTTGTTCCAGACGACTCTGCAGAGTTTAACCAGGTGAATGCAGCTCTACTCTCAATCTTCAAAGTCGACGCCAAAGGTGAGGAGGCCATTTTGGCTCTGAACTAGAGCAGGGGTGCCCACACCCAAGATTTTCTTTTACAGTGACATTGAGCCATTGATTGACCAGTGATTTATGTTGGGGTTTATGATTCAGAATATCACATTTGGTTCAATTCATAATTAAGCTTAATGGCGCATTCAGACCACAGACGCTGGAATACAGCTTCCGAACGCACAAGATGCACATTCTCTTAATTACAGACTCAGGGGTGTTTAGACCAGAAGTCCTGGCTTGCGGTGGCGCCGGCCAGAAGTGGCGGCAGTAGCTGGCGGACGTTGATGCTAACGGAGTAAATCTAGTGGCTTTTTGTGTAAAGTTCTTCTCCAATATTGCAGAAGCACTATGTCCCCCTTTGTCAACCCTGGTTTAGTCCTGGTGTAGCTTCTGTTTTGGCTGCTTACAGTATGTTCAGTCTGCTTACTCAGACCGCTAATGTCCCCTTGACCACTTTGCGGCTCTCTGATAGGTCGCTGCACGAGCGTCCCGAGGAAACTTTCCTCGCTCAAGGGCATTTTCTGTTCTTTCAATGATGTGCTGCTTTGAGCAGTGTGCAGAGGTGATTTGACCATAGAATGTACCCACAGGGGCCGCACTGTTGCGTATGAGCGAGTGCTTGTACTTGAACTCGGAAATGTTTGGCAAGTTACCCACTATGTCTTCACGATCGATGTATTGCGTGCCCCTGAACTTGAACAAGGAGTTGAGGACAGGGCACTATGTGTAAAATTTGAGTAAAAGCGTCATTCTTTCTTCCTCTCTCTCTGTGTAGGCACACTGGGCGGCCTGTTCACTCAGATCCTTCAGGGAGAGGACATTGTTCGTGAAAGAGCCATAAAGTTTCTGTCGAACAAACTGAAGACTCTTCCAGAAGACGTGATGACCAAGGAGGTGGAGGACTTTGTCTTCTCAGAGACCAAGAAGGTGAGAATCCAGAGAGGGATGTAGTTTTGGTGTCTCTCTCGCCCTCAGGTCCTGGAGGATGTGTTGGCATGTTATTCTCTCTCTCTCAGGTCCTGGAGGATGTGACGGGTGAGGAGTTTGTGCTTCTCATGCGTGTGCTGGGCTCCTTACACATCCTGCAGACTGTGAACGGGCGACAGCAGCTGGTGGAGCTGGTGGTGGAACAGGCTTTTTTAGAACAAGCGCTGAACCCGAGCGACGCAGACACTGTGGACAGAGTCCTGCAGTGTACGAGACAGGCCCTGCCCTTGTTCTCTGTGAGTACTAACTACTACAATTATAGTAGTATAACTACTACTACTGTAGTACTGCTGCTTTTACTTTGTTTGTTGTTATAGAAAAACGTCCACTCAACTCGCTTCGTCACATACTTCTGTGAACATGTGCTTACGAATCTCAGCAGCTTGACGAGTCCTGTGGCCGGAGTGGACATCCAGCTGGAGGTGAGGCACCAGGAGAACATGCAAACACAGAGCCACCAGGAGAACATGCAAACACATGGAAACGGTGAAACTGAGAACAGTCAGAATATACCTCCTTCAGCTTTGGTCTGTTCCAGGTGCTCAAACTTCTGGCTGAGATGAGTCCATTCTGTGGAGACATGGAGAAACTGGAGGCCAACCTCCACACACTCTTCAACAAGCTTCTGGTACTATTCTAGTAATACTGCACTCCTACTACTGTACTCTCTACTCTTACTACTGAACAGCACTATGGTAGCCCTTACTTTCTTCCCTTGTCTCTGGTCCCTCTCTCTGGTCTCTTTCTGGTCTGTTTTTTTCTGCATGTTTATAGTGTGTGATTACCGTGTTGCAGGAGTTCATGCCTCTGCCCCCCGCTGAGGAGCCTGAGGACGGGGAAAACTCCTCATCAGATGAACCAAAGTTACAGTTCAGCTCTGTGGAGTGTCTGCTCTATGCCTTCCACCAGCTGGGGAAGAAACTCCCGGACTTTCTCCTGGACAAGGTGGACCAGGAGCGGCTCAAGGACTTTAAGATCAGGTACAACCCGTGCTATTCAGATTAAGTTTATTTACCATTTGCAGTAATACATCGATTACCCAGTGTGCACCAGAGAAGTGCATAAATAAAACAAGCTAAAAATTACAATAAACAATTGTCACTTTGAAACCAAAAAACAGTAATAAGTGCAAGATCGTTTAAGGGCTTTGTTAAAATTGAGCTCTTAAAATGTTCAAGATTCTTTCCACAAGCTACTACTGCTGCAAAGACTACCACGACTGCTGCTGCTCTTATTGTGTAGGCTGTAATTCTCATGTGCTCTTATTTTGAAGGCTGCAGTACTTTGCTCGGGGGCTCCAGGTTTACATTCGTCAGCTCCGTGTGGCTCTTCAGGGGAAAACTGGAGACGCTCTGAAAACAGACGAGGTTTGTCTCTCTCCCCTCTGTCTCTGTCCACTCTCTCTGTCCATGTTTTTGTTCTGACTTGAAGCATGTTTTTCAGAATAAAATCAAAGTGGTGGCTCTGAAGATCACCAACAACATCAACGTTCTCATTAAAGTAAGTCCCAGGTCTCTAGTCTTTGATCTGATCTAGGTCCTGGTTCTAACTAGTTTGTCCTCAGGACTTGTTCCACAATCCTCCGTCCTACAAGAGCTCCGTGACTCTGTCCTGGAAACCAGTGCAGAGACCGGAGGCTGCGGCTGCAACAGCGTGAGTCCCTCTTTACTGCTAATGTACTGTTTAAGTGATAATCTGGACTTTGTCAGAAAAGAGATAGAGGTACATGATTTGAAAAAAAAAACCCAACACAACCCAAGCTCCCTCCCTCTTCCTTTCTGATTGGTCTTGAAGCCGCGCCTACTTTTCCGTGCACGCGCCAGAGGAGAGATTATTAATTTAAATATTTGAATATTTAATCATATTTTATTATACAGCTCCTCACAGCAGTACAATGCTCCATTGATTTGAATGTAATTTCAAAACGTTCTACCGATCATTATTTCTTGATAACGAACTCTCAAACCAATAATGACCACTGCCCTTTGGCAAGGCACTCAGTGCTTGTAATTCAGGGGTGTAAAATTCTAAGATTACTCCGGATAGTAGTTTGTACACTTCGACACTACGGGCTTTCAGCGCCTGTCACTTATTACTTGTCTCTGAGCGAGAGAAGCTATAGAAGCTAGCCACGCTTAATAACACAAATATCAATCAATCAACATATTTAAATGTTAATCAGAGAATGCATTATACATTCTTAATACACGGAGGCTTTCAGAATTATCTGTTAAAGTTTTCATGACAAAAATGCGGTTTTAATGCATCAAAAAACGATCGTGATAAACCCAGAAGTAACTGTTAACATTAGTAGAACATTTTAGGACACATTTGCAGAGGATCTCATAATGGACTTAGGTTGAGTTGGGGTCACTCACTGCTGATGTTCAGAATTCTTTGTTCACTTGTCATGTAGTTCTTGAGGGTTCTAGTTTTGAAGTAACCTACTAGCTAGCCTAGCTGTTACCCATCTAGCCCAGTGGGGGCAAGTTTCGGCTCAAAAGTGGCCAAAATGACGTGCGCTGACATGCTGCAATACCACCCCGGGCCGATGGGGGTGGACCCAGAAGAAGAATTAGCCAATGCTAACATATAGCATTGGCAGACCTCTGGAAAACGTCTTTACAGGATGGACCAAAAGTTGGCTCTTGGCCCAAAGCTCCGTTCCACATGTGTGTCAATGCTGAGGGGGGTAGATTTTTATGGACCACTCTAGTTTACTTGCTGTGAATTTTTGAAGTCTCTCGTTCAAATGAATGGAGCTGTACCGGCTGACGCATGCGCAGATGCGTTTTTTCACAATTTTCTTGTGGGCGGGACCTAGAGCCTTGCACTTGAGCCCTTGGCCCGAGGGCCCCGACGGCCCGACAGCCCGAGGGCCGGGCTTCGGGCCGATGACCGCATAATGACCTCAGACACGGGCTCGGGCTCTTCATTTTCAGAGCGGGAGAATACATTTACGAACGCACCCACTGAATATAGCGTTCTATCACGCTGTAGTGTTTGTTGTTCTGTGTAGTGTTGTCATTGACGGCACATAGCGTTACTTACAAGTGTGTTGCAGCATCTGTGTATCATACAGCTGTGTATCATACAGATGTTCACTCTGCACCACTCCGCACACACAGAACTCATTGCAACACATCACTACCATGTATAACTCCGCCCTCTAGCTAAGTCTGCGTTCATATCAGTGCACGGCACTATATACTACGCTAAAACATTGTTATGGGAGGTTACAAAAAAAAAAAAAAAAAAAGTTGGGCTTGATGCGGGTTTTGGGCCTGAAAATTCAGAAACCATATCGGGCCGGGCCGAGCTGGGGCGCCACCCCCTCGGGCCAGGGCTGGGCTCGGGTCCAGATAATAGGCCCGTGCAAGGCTCTAGCGGGACCCATAGCCTGTATATATTAACGGACAGAGTTACTCCGCCGTTCTAACTAATGGGCCAAAAAATGTGCTCTACTGGAGCTATCCAAAATGGCCGCGAGTGGTCCCACCCACAAGAAAATTGTGAAAAAACGCATCTGCGCATGCGTCAGCCGGCGCAGCTCCATTCATTTGATCGAGAGACTTCAAAAATTCACAGCGAGTAAACTAGAGTGGTCCAAAAAAATTAACCCCCCTCAGCATTGACACACATGTGGAACAGAGCTTTGGGCCAAGAGCCAACTTTTGGTCCATCCTGTGAAGACGTTTTTGAGAGGTCTGCCAACGCTATATGTTAGCTTTGGCTAATTCTTCTTCTGGGTCCACCCCCATCGGCCCGGAGTGGTATTGCAAGCATGTCAGCGCACGTCATTTTGGCCACTTTTAAGCTGGGACCCGCCCACCCTGGCGGGACCACTCGCGGCCATTTTGGATAGCTCCAGTAGAGCATTTTTTGGCCCATTAGTTAGAGCGGCGGAGCTAGGCGTGACTCTGTCCGTTTAATATATACAGTTTATGGTCTAGCCACATCATGCCGAAACTTTGGCAACTATTTTGAATACACATCATTTAAAAAGATAATTCCGATTACAGCTTTGAATTTTAAGGGCTGTCTGAGCTATATCTAAGATGACGGAAGGCAGGACTAAATGTTGATATAAAATGACTTTATATCAACATTTAAGCCCAGGATGTCATTTAGTAAAAATCTTCAAATTTGTAATTAATTTAGAGTTCCAGACTATCACTTAAAATCTGCGTTCACTGATGCCTGAACTCTGTGACATTCCACCATGACTGTATTAAGTGCTGCTAACGTGTTCTCTGATAAGGAAGTTCATTCATTCATTCATTTTCAAGCCCTTTATTGTCCATTTCTGGGTCGGGGGGGGTGGCAATGAGAGCTGCCACCCAATGCTGATAGCACCAGTCCCTCGCTGATCTTCTGCAGGGGGTGAGTCCACAGGAAGATGGCTGCTCTGTCAGCGGTGAAACAGCCTTGATCTTTCAGCGGGGGCTTCAGGCAAGTGTCTTGCCCAAGGACACAACGACAGTAGACATCTTTGGGAGCAGTTGGAGTAGGTCCCATGGTGGGAATCGAACTCACGACCTCCAGGCTCAAAGGCCACTGCTCTACTAGCTACTGTCGCCTCTGATAAGGAAGTACCTGTTGATAATATAATACTTCCATGGCGCAGCTATGTGAGCAGATACTATTATCTGATGTCTCTGGAAGATCTCGGGACCAACACATGCAGAGCTGCACTCAACATGAAAGTCTGCTTGTTACTTGTTAGCATCAAAGCAATTGCAGGGCGCTCTCACCACAGTGTGTGTGCGCACCAGTGGGGGTGGGTCCCGGCTCAAAAAGGTCCATGAGCAATGTTGCAATACCATTCCGGGCCGGTGAGGGTAGACCTGGAAGTAGAATTACCCTATGTATTCCGCCGCCTTTCCTCTTGTAAGCGGCTTCACAGCCTGGTTCAAAAGTTGGTTCCAGATGCGTGACACTGCAGAGGGAATGTTTTAGGCTTTTTGCACCAGCCGCTGTGGACTTTTGAAGTCACTTGTTAAAGCAATGGGGCTCATGCCGGCTAACGCATGCATGAATGCATTTCTTTACAATTTTCCTGCCCCGCTTCCGTTTGGAAAAAACCCACAGAAGGCCTTCACTTTTGGCTTCTATGGGGCTTTTTCAAAATGGCCAAGGGCAGCTCCTCCCGCAAGAAAGTGTGGGGAAAAAAAAAACGCCGGGAACGTAGCTTTGAGCCAAGAGCAGCCGATTGTGCAAGTTCACCCACTTAAAATAATGACAGAGGTCTGTAATTTTCATCATAGGTACACTTCAACTGTGAGAGATAAAATGTGGAAAAAAAATCCAGGAATTCACATTGTAGGATCTTTAAAGAATTTATTTGTAAATTATGGTGGAAAATAAGTATTTGGTCCAAGAAAGAAATTCTACTCATTACTTTGTAATATAACCTTTGTTGGCAATAACAGATGTCAAACAATTACTATAGGTCTTTACCAGGTTTGTACACAAAGTAGCTGGTATTTTGTTTTGGGGCTGTCCCCGAGCACTTCAGGATTTGATTCCCTGTCGTCGTAGTGTGTTACTGATGGTAACCTTTGTTCCTTTGGTCCCAGCTCTCTGCAGGTCATTCACCAGGTCCCCCCGTGTGGTTCTGGGATTTTTGATCATTTTGACCTCACGGGATGAGATCTTGCGTGGAGACCCAGATCGAGCGAGATTATCAGTGGTCTTGTCTTCCATTTTCTAATAATTGCTCCCACAGTTGATTTGTTCACACCAAGCTGCTTGCCTATTGTAGATTCACTCTTCCCAGTCTGGTGCAGGTCTAAAATTCTTTTCCTGGTGTCCGACAGCTCTTTGGTCTTGGCCATAGTGGAGTTTGTAGTCTGACTGTTTGAGGCTGTGGACAGGTGTCTTTTATACAGATAACCAGTTCAAACAGGTGCCATTAATACAGGTAACGAGTGGAGGACAGAAGATCTTCTTAAAGAAGTTACAGGTCTGTGAGAGCCAGAGATCTTCTTGTTTGAAGTGACCAAATACTTATTTTCCACCATAATTTACAAATAAATTCTTTAAAAATCCTACAATATGAATTCCTGGATTTTTTTTCCACATTTTATCTCTCACAGTTGAAGTGTATTCTAATCTGCTGTAATGTGCGCAATATTGAAATGTTCCGACTGAGGAACAAACTAAATTTTCATCCCTCCTGACCGCCAGAGGCAGGGAACATTCAGTGCTATGCATTGCCCTCTGGCGGTCAGGAGGGATTCATAGAATCGTGGCTTATACCTAACCTTCGGTTTCTTATTTACAGCATATGGAGCATTAATCGTGTGTTTTTGTCTCAGACCCAAACGTTCTGCTGCAGAAGACACTGGAGCTTCAGCGATGAAGAAGTCTGTTCCTCCTGCTCCTCGAAGAGACGCCAGACAGATCTACAACCCTCCGAGCGGCAAGTACAGCGGCACCATCGGCAACTTCACCTATGGAGGTAATGCCCTCCATAACCCTAACCCTGCTGCTGCTGCTGCTGCTTTATTGATTTTGGGTGCGTTTGTTTGTTTCAGAGCAGCGCGGAGGTTTCAGAGGTGGACGGGGTCGAGGCTTTGGGAGCAGAGGAACCCGAGGCAGGATGTACTGATGTGAAAGTGATTGGACTGGACCAGGACTGCACAAACACAGAGGAATACCCCGTCACAATAAAAGCCCAACTCACAAACCTGACCGTCAAAAGAAGAGACCCGGAGACAGGATGCAGACCAGAGACAGACCAGACAGAGACCCGGAGACCACAGATTGGACCGAGACCAGTAGACCGCAGCAGGCTTCACTGCTTTTAAAGTCTTGTTTTACTTATGATGTATTTGTGTCGTAAATGTTTTTCTTTTATTTAAACTTTTTTTTAAATCACAATTGGACAAAACTTTGTACAAATCAATGTTGCATTGGATTTTTATCATAAACTTGTAACAACTGTCAACTTAAGTCTTAAAGTCTCATGAATAACACATGTTCAAAGCTGGGGTATATATATTTTACCTCATTTGTACTACATATATACAGTTGACTATCACTTTTTAAAGGACTGCAGTCTCAACCATGTGGAGGATCATCTTCACATAGACCTTTTTTTTTTTTAAACAAGAATATTGTAAAAATCTTGAATCAGATTTAAAACTCCAATTAACTGACCAATCCTTTGGCTGCTGTAAGGTTGCAATGAGAGGGAAGATCTAATGGTAAAGCTGTGGTTGGGGTTGGCAGCTCTTGGTCCTGTTATTTTAGCCCTGCTTCCAAACGGAAAGGTGATGGCTGCAGAGGCTCTGAGGTCTGTCTACAGGGGGCAGCAATGCTCAGAGTGAGGTCTTGGATCAATTCTGTAAACGTTCCCAGGTCTGTTCAGGCCTGTGATTTCTGAGGCAGGCTGAAATGACTGAACACTGCTCAGAACGGGGCCTTATTGAGCGTGTGTCCGTGTCCTTGTGTCAGACACGCTAACTAGGTTAGGCCTTTTAGTATGAGCCTTTTAGCTCTCATACTAAATTGTTCTAACACAGGAAATGCAGTAATAACAAAGGAGCCATTGATCCACAGGGAGTGGGCTGACTGAGGCAGTAGATCCAGGACTGAGCATTTTGGGACAATGTCATGTAATTGTTGATTTACCTGCAGAAGAATATAAAATCAGGATAAATACTTCTTTGGTTTGTTGTCTCAAATGAGGGACCGAAACAGTCCAAATGATGAATGAATAGATGTCCACACTGGCAACTAATTAAAGATATCAGTAAAAAATCTACGAAATAAATATTAAACATCTGTACTAAACACAAAATAGGTGTAGTTAGATTTTCTGTGTTCATTTGTTCTTTGATTAATAAATTATATATTTTTGTTTTAGCCTACAGACAGGTCGACCACTGGTGATGTCACACAATGTATCAATGGATCATTGTGCGACACCAGGTGAGCAGATCTATGGCCAATTGCTTTGGTCCAACTTTCCGTCAGCCTTTGAATGAACGGGGAAACAAATACAAGCAGAGAGAAAATAATAAAAAATGTATTTTCTTTTTACAAAAATGCTATTTTCAATCTTTAATCATAAAGTGTTATCTTCATAATTATTTGCAGATTTCTATATTATTTGAAAAGAAAATATTAACGACTACTGTGAGTCTGAGGGACCAGACCACTGAACAGTAATACACATGCACACGCAGAAGACAGTAACATTGGTGATTGGTGTTTGGAGATGATCTAAACTTTCACTTCATTCCAAAGCTGTGTTAATCATAAGAAAGAAAAATCATTTCAGGGGCCACTGAAAATGGTCTAGTCTGTGGGTGGAGGACTGGGTCTGAGGAGGCTATCTTTGGGTGGGGGACTGTGACTGAGGGGGATCTCTCGGGGTGGGGAACTTGGACTGAGACCGGGTGGAGACTGGTGGAACCAGTCTGGGGCTGAGGGGGGCAGTATTGTAGGTGCATTTCTAAATCTGTGCAAACACACAGAGAGACACACACACACACATATGTGGAGAGCATGATGCATTTGCCCTATCCGTCCAATCTAAAATGAATGTTTAAAAATGTCTTGTACTCTGCTGCATAAGTATCCATCCTTCTATTCTGCTACATAAGTATCCATACCTCTCTTTTCTCTGTCTCAAACTAAACTCATTCATAAATTCGAATCCAGTTTGACGGGAGTGACGTCAACGCAGTGAAACCGGCGAACCGGTTCCGCTCTGGTCCAATCAGTACCAAGCTCTCCCCCCCCTCTCTGGACGCGCCCCCTTTACCTGAGTGACATGTGTTTTAGCTAATCAGAGGACAGCACCCGTGGGAAACTTTATATACCGGTGCGTAGAGGAGCGGGCGCTACTTCCACGCGCTCCCGTCCCGCGCTCGGCCCGTCCACGCACGCACGCGCTCCTCGTGGACATGTCTTGCTCCGTCGCGCTCCCGGAGACCCTGCACGCGCCTCTCTTGTGCGTGGGCGCGTGCACCGTGGGGGGTCTGGTTCTGTGGCTGCTGTGGAGGCTCCTGTCCGGGTTCAGGATCTGGGTCCTGGGCAACGGCCGTCTCCTGAGCCCGGAGCTGGGCCGCTGGGCAGGTGAGGCATTTTGGCTCTGATGAACACCAGCACGCAGGTGCCCCCTTTACGGTCTGGGGCTGTTAATGCTGTCAGCTTGTACAGTGAACATAATACTCCTGGGTTACACGTTTAGATTTCACGTTGTGTGTGTGTGGTCAGTGTGTTTAGACCTGGTTCCACCTTAAAAACGACACCTGCAGAACTTGTTTAGCTCCATCCATGCTATTTGAACACCCCTGTCCCTTATGTTTACTCTGCCTCTAATATCTCATGTTTAAAGCCTGAGTACTTAACTTAAGTTTCATAAATAACATGTAGTTAAAACTACAAGAGTAAAATGTTCAGACCACAACATGCAGCCGTATTCATCGGTTGTGTAAGAAAGAGCCCTGTGAGTCACTGTCGGGCTCTTTGGGCTCTGCTTTAGAATCGGGTTTAATCTTTGCGTGTTTACGTAAAATTTCCTGCATTTTTGTTGTTGTACGTTTCAAACCACAGCAATTGAATTCTATAATGAAATCCATGTCACTGTTTGTGGCCACAGGGAGTCAGTGACTGTCGGGTCTTTCCTGCACATATGATGAAGACTGCATGTTGCGGTCTGAGACTTTCTGTTGGAATAACTACTGGCTGAGTTTTCTGAATAATACTTGAAATGGGGTTTTTGTTGTACTTTTAAATTCTCAGTAAAATTGTTTCTCCTCCAGAAGGTTCTCTGTTTGAATTCCGGTCATAACAGGGCCTTTCTGAGGAGTTGGCGTGTGTCTATGTCCTCGTGTCAGTGTAGGTTTCCTCTCATACTAAAAGCAGCTCCCCTCCTTCTGGGAGAGAGAAATATGGGAACCACAGGAAAAGATGGACCATGTCCTGATTACCTCCCCAGGGACGCGTCCATAGTCGGGGACATGTGCTCTAGAGGTGTTCTTAGCTCAGTGTTGAGTTTTCATCACCCCGGCGGAGAATCCGGTTTGTTCAGTTCTTTTGTTCTAGTGACGAAACTGAAGCAGAGACTGTAGGGAAATAGGAATTGGTCACAAAACTCTGGATTGAGGGGATGTGGGGACTGTAAAGTAGTTGTAGTGTCTCTCTGGTCTCTCCCTGGTTTCCCTTTCTGGTCTTTTGCTCCCTCTGGTCTCTCACTCTACTCTCAGGAAACTGCTGCAGTTTTCTTTTAAAGTCTTCTGAAAGGACAGATGTGAGAATGTGTCTCTGACCTAGTCAGTTGAAACGGTCAATCTTTGGTCCTGGTCCTAATTCTGGAATTGGTCCCTGTTTCTGGTCTGTTCTAGTCCTGCTCTCTGGTCCCAGGTCTCGCTCGGCTCTTGCTTAGGGCTTGCTCTTCCTAGCCTCAGGTCTCTGGTCCAGAAAGCATTTTTTTACCCTCAATACTTGTCTCACCAATAGTTGTATCCTGTTCCAGGTCATCTATAGTCCCCTCTGCCCCTGGTCTCCTCTGGGCTCAGTCTGGTTTTTCCAGTTTCAAACGCTCTACTTTACACCACACCTCAGCCCCAGTTAGACCTGCGGATCCAGATTCTAGACACAGCCACTCAATCTGAGACTCTCAGTGCGGAGGTCCTGAAGCACAGACTCTCAGTGCGGAGGTCCTGAAGCACAGACTCTCAGTGCGGAGGTCCTGAAGCACAGACTCTCAGTGCGGAGGTCCTGAAGCACAGACTCTCAGTGCGGAGGTCCTGAAGCACAGACTCTCAGTGCGGAGGTCCTGAAGCACAGACTCTCAGTGCGGAGGTCCTGAAGCACAGACTCTCAGTGCGGAGGTCCTGAAGCACAGACTCTCAGTGCGGAGGTCCTGAAGCACAGACTCTCAGTGCGGAGGTCCTGAAGCACAGACTCTCAGTGAGGAGGTCCAGTTGATGTTGAAATGACAGAACTAGAGTTCTCTGAAAGAAGCAGCTGGTCTGGTTCTGTCACATGTCTTAGAGTTGATTTATGAGTCATTAACTTTGATAATGAGGCCTTATTATCAAAGTCCCAACCTGTGGTGCATGTGGCTCTGAACATCTGTGAAATGTGTTTTGATTCTATGAATTTGGAAAAAAATTAATCCAACGAGTTTTCATCTCATTAGAAAACTTGTTTTGTGTCAGAAAGAGCCCTGAGAGTCTATATTTGACTCCTGGGGCTGAGAGCTGATCAAATCCGTGAGGGTGGTCCTCTTTTTGACTTATGTCTGTAAAAAGCTGATCTAAAGATGTGAAACTAGTGCTGGAAGCTAATTGTTTTACAAACTAAAGACATGGGTTTAATACAGTTTAAATGGGTGTGTGCTGATGGTTACAGATCCTGCCACTGTAAAGGAGAGAACATGAGCTCTGGACTCATCTGTTTTTAGAGCAGAGTTCACGCTGGTAGAATTCCTGAATTCTTCTCACGATCAGATAGAATCAGTGTCACGTAGAAGCTGTCAACGACACAATGACGTCTGCTGCTTGAGTCACGTCTCTGGTCTCCCTCTCTCTGGTCTCCCTCTCTCTGGTCTCCCTCTCTCTGGTCTCCCTCTCTCTGGTCTCCCTCTCTCTGGTCTCCCTCTCTCTGGTCTCCCTCTCTCTGGTCTCCCTCTCTCTGGTCTCCCTCTCTCTGGTCTCCCTCTCTCTGTACAGACAGGGCCTGGAGGTCTCTGGGGAGGGCTAAATCTGGGATCTCTCTGATGATGGGCTGCTGTGACATATTTTCTCACGTTTGAGTTGTGTCCTTTGAGAATCAGACGGAGCACATTCCTCTACCGGTTCAATTTATGACTCTCACTATGCTCACGAGGAATGCTAACGAGGAATGCAGTGGTAAAGCAGGGTTCACTGAGTCTAAAACAAATGTGTAGACTTCAGGCTTTCTGTAAATGCTCTTCCTCTTTCCTCAATGTTCCTTCCATGGATGTATAATAACTTGATAGGGTATTACTAGCGTATAGCTGTCCCATCCATGGGCACAGGGTGCGCCCGTGGTACTGCAAACTAAATTCACGGTGTCTTCCCAGAAAAAAGTCCCATAGAACTCAATGTAAACTAGAAACTTGCAATGGCTGAAGCCATTGCGATTGACTGCGGAACAGATCTAATGTGGAATTTAGCTGAAAAATCCTTGAAATCCTTGAAACTGTTAAAATACTTTAAACATCTTTGAAACTCCTGAAGTATTTGAAGCTCCTGATATCCTTTAAACTGTTATCCTTTATACTATATCAATAGTATAATATAGTCACTATCAATAGTAGTTTCTAGAAACTTGCAATGGCTGAAGCCATTGCGATTGACTGCGGAACAGATCTAATGTGGAAATCTGCTAAAAAAAATCCTTGAAATCCTTTAAAAAGCCTTGAAACTGTTAAAATACTTGATAGATATTTGAAACTCCTGAAGTCCTTGAAATTGTTGAAACCTTTAAACTCCTGAAATCCTTGAAACTGTTGAAACATTGAAACTCCTGAAATCCTTGAAACTTTTTTAAACCTGGAAACTGTTGAAAGTGTGGAAACTCCTGAAATCCTTGAACCTCCTGATATCCTTGAAACTGGTTAAATTCTTAAACAGCTGAAATCCTTGAAACTACTGAATGTATTGAAAGTGTCCTTGAAACTGAAAAATCCCCTCACCGCTGAAACAATTTGGTTCCTGTAACTAAGGAAACCTGGTCTGTGGTCATTATCTGGTGGTGGTCTGAGTCTTCGTTTGGGTCTTGGTCTGGTGGTATAATGCAACCTATTAGGTTGCATTATACATGAAAAAACCCTATTAAGTTGCATTATACTGGTTTACATGAAAAAAACCCTATTAAGTTGCATTATACTGGTTAACATGAAAAAAACCCTATTAAGTTGCATTATACTGGTTTACATGGAAAAATCCCTATTAAGTTGCATAATACTGGTTTACATGGAAAAATCCCCATTAAGTTGCATTATACTGGTTTACATGAAAAAAACCCTATTAAGTTGCATTATACTGGTTTACATGGAAAAACCCCTATTAAGTTGCATTATACTGGTTTACATGGAAAAATCCCTATTAAGTTGCATTATACTGGTTTACATGAAAAAAACCCTATTAAGTTGCATTATACTGGTTTACATGTAAAAACCCCTATTAAGTTGCATTATACTGGTTTACATGGAAAAATCCCTATTAAGTTGCATTATACTGGTTTACATGGAAAAATCCCTATTAAGTTGCATTATACTGGTTTACATGGAAAAATCCCTATTAAGTTGCATTATACTGGTTTACATGGAAAAATCCCTATTAAGTTGCATTATACTGGTTTACATGGAAAAATCCCTATTAAGTTGCATTATACTGGTTTACATGGAAAAATCCCTATTAGGTTGCATTATACTGGTTTACATGTACAAATCCCTATTAAGTTGCTTTATACTGGTTTACATGTAAAAACCCCTATTAGGTTACATTATAGTGGTTTACATGTAAAAATCCTTATTAAGTTGCATTATACTGGTTTACATGTAAAAACCCCTATTAAGTTCCATTATACTGGTTTACATGTAAAAACCCCTATTAAGTTCCATTATACTGGTTTACATGTAAAAACCCTATTAAGTTGCATTATACTGGTTTACATGGAAAAATCCCTATTAAGTTGCATAATACTGGTTTACATGGAAAAATCCCCATTAAGTTGCATTATACTGGTTTACATGGAAAAATCCCTATTAAGTTGCATTATACTGGTTTACATGGAAAAATCCCTATTAAGTTGCATAATACTGGTTTACATGTAAAAACCCCTATTAAGTTCCATTATACTGGTTTACATGTAAAAACCCCTATTAAGTTCCATTATACTGGTTTACATGTAAAAACCCTATTAAGTTGCATTATACTGGTTTACATGAAAAAAACCCTATTAAGTTGCATTATACTGGTTTACATGTAAAAACCCCTATTAAGTTGCATTATACTGGTTTACATGTAAAAACCCTATTAAGTTGCATTATACTGGTTTACATGGAAAAATCCCTATTAAGTTGCATTATACTGGTTTACATGGAAAAATCCCTATTAGGTTGCATGATTACACTGAAGTCCTTGAAACTGCTGAAGTCCTTGAAACTGCTGAAGTCCTTGAAACTGCTGAAGTCCTTGAAACTGCTGAAGTCCTTGAAACTGTTGAAATCTTGAAACTGCTGAAATCCTTGAAACTGTTGAATCCTTGAAACTGTTGAATCCTTGAAACTGTTGAATCATTGAAACTGTAGAAATGTCTGAAAGAGCTGAAGTCCTATTAAAATGCATGGGCCTATTAAAATGCATTGCAGAATTCTCAATGCAGATTTTTGTCCGATTGCGGAAAAACCGGAAATCGCTGAAGTCCCAAAAGTAATAGCAATAATCTCCCAAACATGTGGAACGTTTTGATGTATAACTTGTGGAAATTGTTGAAAATGTGAAAGCTGTGAAACGTGTCAAAAAAAATGACGGAATAAAGAAATACAAAACCAATGGTTGACTGCGGAAGGTTCCGCAGTCAATCAACTAAAAAAGCTCAACCTCAGCTGACAGAACCTACAGCTTTCATAAAGATCAGAATTTGTGGGAATTTTGGTGCCCCTTGCCATCCTGATTTATTTCTAGTAAAATCCTTTGGGTTTCTATAAATCTACACTTTAATGCAACAAGCTCTGCTCTGATCAGCAGCGGCCGAGCCCCTCTTTGCACGTGCATCAGAGCCACACACGTGTATTTGGCGGAAAGCCTCATGGGAGCTCATCCACTGTGCACAACCAGGAAGACCAGAGGATACCCAATTATGGGCTGTCCCATGCGCTACTTGGCACAAGCCATTGAGTTGAATAGAGCGCCATCTTGGATCACCGGGGCTTGGTTCCTCCCCTATCATCAGTCACAGACCTGCAGCTTTGTTTAACTCAGTCCTTGCTCAAATGAAGCCCCATCATGTGTTCCTCAGCTTCTGTAGAAGTGAATGTTCTTGATTTAAGTTTATGTCCTTGTTTCAGTTGTGACCGGAGCCACAGATGGAATCGGGAAATCGTACGCAGAGGAGGCAAGTTTTAAACGCTGACTGTTGGACAAAGACCGGGTCTAGAACTGGGACGAGGATCGGGCGGAAATGTAGCTGCTATTATAGGACCATATGGTTTATAATATTACAGCTGATGGCCTTCAAACTAAAGTGTATTTTATCTTTTGCAATTGTCTGTGGCTCTTTGACTCTGTCTAATATAGTTTCTCTTTTGCAGTTGGCTCGTCGCGGTTTCGCCCTGATGCTCATCAGTCGCTCTCAGGACAAACTTGACGATGTGGCAAAGTCAATTGGTCTGAATCATATTTTTACACATTTAAACCACTATATATAGATGGACAATGCTAACCTGCCAGGCTAGCTCAATGCTAACCCACAAGTGACATGATGCTCATGGTGAAGTTTGGCTCAATCTGGCTCAGGCTTTGATTGACTTTCATGTAAAAGATAAATCCTTTAGCACAGTAACAGTGTGTCACTCAGCATTTTTAGCTTAAATCTGTGGTGGAGTGTTCCCTGTGATCCTGGTGATATTGTCTTTGTACCAAAAAAGCTGGCCTATCAGGGCCTTATGTCCCTGAATTTGGATTTAGTTGCTGATTGGCTCTTGGTAACCTGGCCATTGCTACCAACATTTGCACATTAGCCCTCACAATCTGGCTCAAAGAGCCTGTTGGACTTAGGGTCCACTCCTAATGCAGCCTGTGGTTTTGATTTGTCATTAGTCATGATTGGAGCAGACACCGTTCATTTATTTTATTTTTTAATGTTTAATTGCATTTGTTTCCAGAGGAGCAGTACAACGTGGAGACCCGCACCATCGCTGTGGACTTTGGGAAATCTGACATTTATCCCAAAATAGAAGCTGGACTGACTGGTCTTGAGATCGGAGTCCTGGGTGAGACATGTGATATACACAGGTGTAATGTGAGGATGTATTCCCCCTCAATGAATCAACTGGGCGTACGTGCGTCTTGGATTCACTAAAAATTCCACTGCATGAGATAAGTTAATCTGCAATGCCAAGAACTCTAGGCAGAAGTGGTGGGCGGGCTTTAATGTTGGAGCTAGTGGCTTTTTGTGTAAAATTCTTCAACACAAGTGCAGTTCCACAGATTTGTCTAGCTTGTTGTCCCTGTGACCTCTTTGCTGCTCTAAGTAAGTAATCTTTATTTATATACCGCCTTTCACAGACCAGAGTCACAAAGCGGTTTACAATTGTTATTTTTTGAGCACTTGTCCTCTCACTCTATACACTGAGATTGATTGAAATATGTGCGTCGAGTGAGAAAGTTGAGCCATGTTTATCTCCTGAGTCGAGTTGGTGCCGCAAAAAACGCATCCGCCGCACCAGACAAACTTGCGTACTGCAACATGCATCATGTTCACCATTGATGTTGCATATAAACTTGCCAGATCGCAAGATTCGTTGTGAACTCAATAACAACACAGGTGTAATGTGCTCTTGTCTCTTCAGTGAATAATGTGGGCGTGTCCTACCCGTACCCAGAATACTACCTCCACGTCCCAGACCTTGACAATGTGAGTCTGACTCCAGTAACTTCAGTTTCAACAAAATATGATTTAAAGTGACTTTTTTTCGTTTGTTTCTTCAGTTCATCACAAACATGATCAACGTGAACATAACGTCAGTCTGTCAGGTTAGTCCCAACAACTACTGTAGTAAACTCTAGTCCAGTGTTTTTCAACCAGTGTACCTTTTGGAAACTATCCAATTACACCTATCTGGCCAAAATAATGTGAGAAGATTAAAGTTTTGCACAATAAAATACACTTTAGGAGTGACTTTAGGTTGTTCATAAAGACTGATCTGATTTTCAATGACAAAGGTGTGCCTCTGCTCAATTAGGTTGGAACACTGCTATAGTCTGTTATATCAAGTGTGTGTTGCAACAAGTGTCCCTATTTAACATGGTTGTGTGTCCCTCAGATGACTCGCCTGGTGTTGCCCCGGATGGTCAACAGGTCTGTAGCCCCACAACAAATATTTCAGTTCTTGCTACTTTTAAATTCAAAGTATTTCATCAGCTTAAAGAATCTTAAGGTTCAAACACAAGAAATGAATTAATAACACATGAGAGCCGTTGGTTTAAAGGGAGCGGATGATGCTGTGTATCACAATGCATCAATGGAAATTTGGCTGTTGTTGCTCATCTTGAACATATTTTCACATTTCCAGGTCTAAAGGTGTGATCCTCAACATCTCTTCAGCCAGCGGGATGTACCCGGTGCCTCTTCTCACAGTCTACTCCTCCACCAAGGTTTGAATGTTCTGCCTGTGTCTGTGTGTTTGCATATATGTGTGTGTGTGTGTGTGGGTACAGAGCTTTGTGTAATTGTAATGCTTTGTGTGGGCAGGCATTTGTGGACTTCTTCTCTCGTGGACTGCATGAGGAGTACAGACGGCAGGGAATCATCGTGCAGGTTTGACACTTGATCTTAAACAAGAGTGAATGTGACTCTGCCTCGTGTGGCCAGAAACACAACTACAACCCCACTGAAAACTGCCCTTTTAGATCAGATCGTATGTGTTGTACTGTGTTTGTCATGTTTTATATTCCTGATACAACTCCTCAGAGTGTGCTGCCGTTCTTTGTGGTCACTAAGATGACCCGCATAAAGAAGCCCACTTTGGACAAACCCACTCCTGAGAGATACGTGCAGGCGGAGCTCACCACAGTGGGATTGCAGGACCAGACCAACGGCTACTTCCCCCACGCCGTCATGGTGAGAATACCACTCTAATGCTAGTGCTTGTTTACTAGTGCTCCCGGTTCGGCTAGGAGTATGACTAGTGCATAGGGTCTTGAACGTTTATCTGGCAGGGGTGTCTAGACCTATTAGTGAGAGGGCAACTTTAGTTCACCAATCTTGTCCAGGGGATTTTCCCAGATGATTAAACTGTTTTGCCTGAATTTGGTCTGTTTTGAACCTTTTCATATGCGTTAAATTCAATCTATTCTTGTACAGCCCTCAATTACAAGTTATCTCAGAGGACCTAACAAAACCGTTGAAATCGCCAACACAGATCAGAGAATCGGTTTGAATTCAAAGAATAGAGAGCATCGGTCCATAGAGGGGAGTTGACTAATAAGTGTTGATAAATGTCCATAGCTGTTAATGAGCAATGATGGAGCTGGATGACAAATGACCGTCTCATCAGGATAGATACAGCTGGGTGGATCATCAAGACTAGTGGTCCTCCCAATTGTCAATTATTCTAGAATACATGCTTGTAAAGACCAGACAGTTCTGATAAAAAGTGGGGGGGGCTTTCCTAAAATTCGGGGAAAATCCTCATATCTTTTTATTAATGTCAAAAACTTCTCTTAAACGGACAGGTGTGGTGTGTCTGGGACGTTTATCCTAACCTTAGTGTTTGTGCGTTCCAGGGCTGGTTCACGACCAAACTCGTGCCCAGTTTCTTGGTGATGTTCTTTGCCGCCAGAATGAACCGTCTGCAGAGGACTGGTTATCTGCAAAGACGCAAGCAGAGGGAGCTGAAAAACGGACTGAAAACTGACTAATGCAACCACTAGACATAAAAAAACTACTACACAACAATACCAGCGGAGTAGAGGACTGCCACTATACAACCAACCTCAAACCCGCTTGGGCTCCTATTGACCTACATGTAAAAGAAAACGCCTAGCTCCATAAATTTGTCACTCACCATTTCGGGCTTAAATCTGTGGTTTAGCGATTTTGTGATCATGGTATTTACATTGTTACCTTGTATTTATAAATCCAGATATGAGCCTTCATTCGAGGGGGCAACTCCAGCTTGTCTTAGCAACAAGCCTGCCCCTCTTAAGCAGGGCTCGTGTCAGAACAAATACAAGTTCTTGCACGCTAAGGATAACGCCATGGCGATGTCACTCTGTCCACCAAGTCTATGGTGTGTAGTCTCTGCGCAACCACATCTTCAGACTCGTGAACATATATAATGTGCGCCTGTAGCGCCCCCTGGTGGAGGTATTGGTAATGACTATTTTTAATATTTATTTCTTTGTAAAAAACCTCATGAATCGTTTGGGGCTTCTGTTTGATCCGATATTACTGCATCAGTGAAGCCTGCTTTTCTGTCGCATTTTAACTATGTTCCATTTATCTGACTGTTTGTAAAAAGTGTTATTTTTGTGTTGTCTTTTTGGGATTTTTTCACCAATTGTTTTTTCTACATTTACTTTTCCAACCAGCGTCAACAAAGTGCTTTAGGTCAATGGTCAAATAATGAGTGGGACATGCATTAGATCCTGATGAGTTTAGACCAAAGTGAAAAAGTGATTTTTAAAGATGTGTTTTCTACGTTTGTTAATAAAAAAATTCAATGGGAACCTTGTTTGTTTTGACTGAATTTCACTGAAGTGAACTGAATTCTCAAAGGAAAGATGTTTTCTCTGTAATGGTGTAAAATGGACTCACGCAGAGTTGAAAAAGTTTCCTCCTTTGTGAATCACCCTAAAATCACAACAGCAGTCGTCTAAGGGCTCAACAATGTTGTGGATCCAAGGGCTCAGAAAATCAAATGCAATAATCAGGCTATTGATCAGCGTAAGATTATCCCTAGTGCTATCTTCAGGTCAACTTGACCTGCCACAGTGATTGAAAAATGTCCAATACAAAGTTTTGGTCCTTACTGGACCAACCTTGGCTCATCTACTTAGAATCAGAATCATTTTTATTGCCACGTAAGTAACAGGAGGTCACAGACTTGGAAATTGCTTTGGCTCAGTGCAACAGTCAAAGAGAATAAAAATAAGAATAAAAAACACTTCTAAAGAATAAATTTAAATTTAAAATAGAGTTACAGTTACTATTTACAATATACAAGTGCACATGGTGCACACAATGTAAGGTGACAGCAGTACAGTAAAGTAAAGTGACAAGTATGATGGGCAGTAAAGTTTAAAAGGGCGGGGGGACAGGTTAAGAAGTGTTCAAGAGTCCAACAGCAGAGGGGAAGAAACTGTTCTTGTGGCGGGAGGTTCTAGTCCTGATGGACCGCAGCCTCCTGCCTGAGGGGAGTGGTTGGAATAGTCCATGTGCAGGGTGAGAGGGGTCGGCTGTGATACGACCAGCCCGGCCTCGAGCTCGGGCGACGTACAGGTCCTGCAGCGATGGAAGGCTGCGGCCGATCACTTCCTCTGCAGAGCGCACAATGCGCTGTAGTCTCTGTTTGTCCCTGACTGTGGCTCCAGCGAACCACACGGTGACGGAGGAGGTGAGGATGGACTCGATGATGGCCGTGTAGAACTGCACCAACATCTGTGCAGGCAGCTTGGCTTTCCTGAGCTGCCGCAGGAAGTACATCCTCTGCTGGGCCTTCTTGATGAGGGAGCTGATGGTCGGCTCCCACTTGAAGTCCTGGGTGATGGTGGTGTTTAGGAAACGGAAGGACTCCACAGAGGTGATGGGGGAGTCCATCACGGAGGGTGGGGGGGGGGGGGGGGGGGACAGTGCTCTTCCTGAAGTCCACAATCATCTCCACTGTCTTCTGAGCGTTCAGCTCCAGGTTGTTACCACTGCACCAGGACACCAGCCGGTCACTGGTTAGTCATTTTGACCAAAGGTTAACAAAAGGGATTAAGGTCTTATATTTCATTCATTTTACACTGCCCATCCTAATCATGTTTGATAATTTGGATGATACAACACTCAAAACTTGTGAAAATTATAGCCATTTCTTGCATGGGTGATGTCACTTGAAATAAGTGGCTCTCTGCTCTTCACTGTCTGAGCCCACCACCCGCCTCAAGCTGATTTGGTAAAGACAACATGGCGTTTATCGGTGTAGTTTCACATCAGACCTAAGAATAAACGTTCTTTCCCCAACTATGACAATCTGTCAAGTAGAGCACTGTGTCCTCAATCCAGAATTGACCCTAATTAGTTAACCGTAGCATGGAAGAAGCACTTTACTTGGGCCCCTCCCCAGCCTCTTTAATTGTGGGAGTAACGGCAGGTTTCAACATTAGCTCTTGTGTAAATCCAGTTTCATGGTTACTGTAGTTCGGCTGCAGTCCTTGATAAAGTGTCACTTGCAGATGAACAGATACGGCCTGGATTTCAGAGGCAGATCCAGTGACAGTTGTGCCACATTCCTCTCACTCTTAGTCTTTGGGCAAGTCAAATAGTGTTATCACATAATTATACCAGTGTTTTCCATTGTTTCTTTCTCTCAGACAGAATAAAGTCAGTACACAGTTTATATAGTCATTGTCACGTCACACATCGAAAGACATACGTGTCACAAAGAGACAGTCACATCATAGTCAAAATAATCAGAGTCCTTGTACAGTCCTGCACGTAGGACATATTGCTATCTAATACTAACACTCACCCCTTTGATCACATAATCACATGTGATCACTCAATTTGATCAATCAATAAAGTGAAAAAAAAACTAAATTTTTTTAAATAAAAAAACAAAGAAAATGTATGCATTAAACTCATAATCATCAAATCAATATCAGTGGATTTTATCATCTATCCTGGGAAAAAAAAAAAAAAAAGTAAATAAACAAAAAACAAAAACAAACAAAAATAAAAAACACTATTGGACACAGTAGAACTCCGCAGATTCATTCACTTTTCTTACTCTATACTTTTCTTCTAATGATAATTGTTTACACTACACTTCACTTAATTCACTGTATTATTTTCACTTTTTAATCTTAGACTATGTACTTTCTAATCTATTTACAAATATGTTTGCATATTTGCTTTTATTGAGCCATATTCTTAAACATACATTTTAATCTAATAAATCTCTATTCTGTGGTTTACTTTCATTATCAGTGGATTATTGTTAGTGGGATTTTGTTCTATGTCTATTCTACATTCTCAGGAATAAAACTGTGAACACAGTAAGACAAATGGTTAATATGAACATTATTATGGTGGTCAGTTTTCCAAATACATTTGTTGAACCAGGAAGTGCTGTCACTTCCTCCTCTCAGGCAGTTTGGGATGGATGTACATCAATAATCAAATTAGTATTATCCTTTCAAGAGCTAATCTATTTTAGCAGGTTTGGGGTTGGGGTCAGTTATTCTACAATAGTGTTTGATTCTCTAATCTGTGCCGGCGAATCAACAGCTTTTTAAACTTCTCAAAGATCTCAATATCTACTATTTGTTTTTGGGCTCTACCCAAATGCATCAAAAAGCTTTTAAATGCTTTTGAATCTCTGTTGGTTGTAATCTATCTCATTAATCTAGGCTATATTCAAACTTTTTGCATTGTCAACATTCACATGTGTTTGAACACAAGTGAATTTGGCAGGTATTTAATAAACTGTACATAAAACTGTAATGAACTTTATCTACTTTTGAAGTAAATGTTTGTGAATCTATTTTGAAGGTAATGCCCCTTTTACCGTTTGATAATAGCACTGACTAGAAATAATCGCTATTTTATGGTCGATGCATTTATCTATTTTTACTCTATTGTGACTCTAAAGCTCGGCTGCAGCTTGAGTCAAGGCATATTTCTAGTTTGTGACTTCTGTCACTTTTAATAGCTGTAACATAACTCTGATTCTAATATTTTAGCTGCTCTATCAGAAGGATAACATTGTATAGTTATTATTTTAACTCTTATGTGGAAATGTGTTTATGAAAAACAAAAGAAATCAAATTCTACTTTTTTACTACTATTTAACATCTACTAAAACACTATGTGAGATTTCATAACACTTTGAAGCAACTTTTGTTAAAGTTAAACTCATCATTCTATCAATGTGCAGAAGCCAGTACTTTTCCCTTGTTTTGTCTATCTGAAGGCCAAGCTACAAGCACACCGTGGAAGCTGCTGATTGGAGGTCTCCATGCCTCTGCTCTGTATAATACACTTGCATTCTATTGTATCTGTGATTGTGTGCTTTGTTCGTGCTGTCTCTACCATCGACAATAAAACATGTCTTCTGTCGGAATGTAAGACACGATCCCAGACTTGGCTCATCCTCTTCATATCACTTGAGTCTTTATTTGAATCTGTATTTTTTGAGACCAGAAATGTTCATTTGAATTCTATATTGTCATGGACTTAATTGACGTCTGTCCTGACACTTTTGATTTGTTGATTTTGTACTGTGTGAAGTAATTACATTGATTAGGATTATATCTGATAAAAACACAAATTAGAGAAGTAAACTGAATCATTGCGCTTGCTTTTGTCTGAGGGACATTAGCAACAGCATGAATAGAAATTGTCTTTACAGTAGAATTAAAATGACTTAGCCATAGAAAGTAACTATTGCATAACAAGCTGTGTACAGGAACTGAGACACTGCACCATTGACCAGAAGTGCATCGCAAAGAGCAACCCAAGTGACTTGAGTGCATCTGGAGACCAAAACCATGGCTTGGACCCTACTGATGTCCAAGATGACATCTCTCGAAATATGACCTGACCTGATGACGACTGAGACTCACCCTCAGGGGACCCTGAGGACCTGAGGACCTGAGGACCTGAGAGAGAGAAAACTGGGGAGTGATGTTTATATTTTTAAAATCATACATTG